GCTGTAACCTTCCCACCCTCCACAGCCCTTCCTGCGAACACAGGAGCCCACACGGAGCCACACGGGGCGCTCGGCTCCGGACGCACCCGCACCTTTTCAGGAGGAGGATCCTCTCCCAGGGCTCAGCCCCTCCCCCCTCCCCTCCGTCCAGAGGGTGAGGTGGCCCTTGGTCTGTCACTTAGCACAGCTGTTCTGAGCAGGGAGGGCTGTGGGCGCACAGATTAAAGCGCCGTGTCTTGTTCAGACAGCGGACCTGGGTCATCAGCTCGAACCTTAGGACTAACTGGAAACCGACATGTGAGCTGACTCATCCCCCTTCCGGACACCCCTTTAACTCAGGTGCTGAACGAACAGGATGCGGTTGCCGTCCCGTGAGATGAAAGCCTGGCTGGGTGAGGAAACCGACGTCCTCGCAGTGACCCTTCACTGAGTCACCAGACCTGTGAGAATCTATGAAGAGCCCTGGCCGGGTAGCTCAGTTGGTTAGCGTGTCATCCTGACACACCAAGGTTGCGGGTTTGATCCCTGGTCGGGCACACACCCAATGAGTGCGTAAATAAGTGGAACAACAACTGTCTCTCCCTCTCTCCCTTCCTTTCTCTAAAGTCAATAAATAAATTTAAAAAGGAATCTGATGAAAGATACAAACCCTTTCCGGAGAAAAAATGTAAAAACAGGCACATGAATGACTTGCCTCCGATCGCGTGATTCAGTGGTGCACAGCCCCCAGTGCCGCGTGGACCACAGGCCAAGAATTCCTATTTTAGAAGCAAGTTAGAAAAAGCTGACCACAAAGTCCCTCTGACGGGGTTGGGAAGTTGATGTTAACTACAAACACATTTCCAAGGGCTCGAGGACACGCGCAGCTGACATCATGCACAAGGGATGGGGAACAAAGGCTCCTCAGAGAAAATGTTTAACTCAGCAGGGTGGACGCTTCACCGAGACACACCGTCCACTTCTGCTGGTTTTCCCTCCTGTTTGGACGTGTGGCAAGGGGAGAGAAAACCCTTCGGAAGGCGATGGACTGGTCCCTCTGGAAGGGACTCAACACATCAACAGAATCCAAGCTCACTAAAGGGGTTTGCTTTCGTAAATTTGTTTTGTTTGGCTGCCTCCTGTGGGTTGATAGTTTTCCAAATGATACATTTTCAAACACTCCTGCTTCGTGAAGGCAGCGTATGTTCAGACGCACCTATTTGGGGTGAACGCACACCCTGGCTCAGAGGCGGGAGAGGGCTCAGCAGGCAGGACGGGCTGCGGCGGCTCAGCCGCGTGAGGAACAGCCCAGCTGCAGTGGCTCCTGGTGGCCGGAGCCCCTCTTGCTGGTGAAGTCTGCGGGGGCTCCGGCCGCCCTCCAGGCCCTCTCCTGGGTGCTGGCTGTGTCCTCAGCTGGGCCTTTTGATGTCACCGTGGAAGTGCACGCATTGCTCCTCACTACCTGCCTTTGGCCAAAGCAGGTCACACAGTGCCGCCTGACTTCCCAGAGACGGGGAAGTACGGTCCATGGGGGCCCAGTGGCGAGAAGCAGGTGATAGAAGTTGTAGTGTGGGTTTGGTGAGTACTGAAACGTGCTGGAAAATGAAAATGCGTTTGGAGGAACGTGCGCTAAGGTGTTCTCTCTGAATGGGGAAACTCCCCATTAGATTTAACAAATAAAAGATAGGCTTGCCCTGGCCAGTTTGGCCTGGAGGCTAGCACGTCGGCCCACCAAGGAGTCTCAGGTTCGATTCTGGTCAAGGGCACGTACCTCGGTTGCAGTTTGTCCGTGGCTCTGGTTGGGGTCATGTGGGAGGCAAGGAGTTGATGTGTCTCTCTCACATCGATGTTTCTCTCCCCCCCCCCCATTCTAGCTGAAGATAAATGGAAAAATATCCTCAGGTGAGGATTAATAAAAAATAAACAACAGGCTTTCCACTTTCAGACATGATGGGAGTAACAGAGGCCAGTTTACCCTCCTTGAATAAAAAGACAGAATACGTGAAAATCGGTTTCGGACGTCAGAGAGCAGGAGGGCAGGCCCTGATCACTGAGAACAAGGTGGGCCCCGTGATGGCCCCAGAGCACCGCCCAGGACGGGAGGGGAACCCAGAGGTTCACGGTCTCACTGAGTCTGAGGGACAGAGATCAGTGTTCAGGGAGACCAGGTGGGTAGGATGTGAAAGGCAGAGAAAAAGGACAGAGAGAGAGAGAGAGAGAGAGAGAGAGAGACACTGTCAGGTCTGGGATCCGCAGGAAGTCCCCTGGACAGACTTTGGCTGACCGTGTTCCGTTCATTCATGACAGGAAACCACGTGAGGAGCGACACAACCGCCAGGAATCAACCAGCCAAACAAGTCCCGGGACTCACACAGGACCTCAAGTTGGCCACACAGTCACCAGTCAAGGTGTAAAGACAATACAGGCACAAGGCAGGACCTTCTGAAAGGCACCCCCTCCGCAGGGGTGTCGAGCTTGGGTTGGAGAGCCCATTCTCTCTGTAGGGGGAGCCACTAAACATGCAAACTCAGTCACAGCTCTGCCTCCTCGGGAGAGGCTCGCTGGACCGTCCACCTGGAGACCAGGCCGCTGAACTCTGCACCTGCCAGGTGACCTTTTCAGTCCTCTGTATCCAGCGTCACTTCCTCAGTGCAGAAAGAATCAATTTCTGCCTGCTGGTCACTTTGAGATCAACAAGGGTGTGTAGTAAAAATCTCTCAAGCTCGTCTTCTATCTCCCGGGGAGGGGAGGGATGTGCCTGGAGCAGCCAGGTCCACCTTTGAATTGGCAGGGTTGACTAGTGATAACAGTGGGATGGTTGGATGTTTTGGGACACACCCTGCCCTACCCTTAACTCCCTGGGACTGTGTCCTGTAGGAGTCACCGGGGAAGCAGCCCCAGGGGTGGCTGTGCCCGAGGGGCTGCCCGACTGAGGCCAGGTGTCCAAGGGCCTGAGCCCTGGCCCCGCGTGTCTGCTCCGGCTAGGATGTTAGGACGTATTTGTTCACGTCCTAGCACCCCGTGCATGAGGACAGGTCGGAGAGCTTACACGACTCGGTCAAGGTGACAGGCGTAGGCATCAGCCTGGCAACCAGAGCCCAGGGCTCCCACGCACAATTCAGGTCTCCTTACATGACCAAGGGTTTCTTCCCTGGAAGGAAGGCCTTCAAACTTTTGATGATTCTGCAGGACGGGGGCCAAATGAACAGCGTACTGCGGTCTGTGTGCGGAGGAAACCGGTGCCCAGTCACAGGACTAGTCATGTCCGGTGAACAGATGACCTGGGGAACAAAATTGTTCTGATAGCGTTAATATTTTTGAAATTACAATACAAGCTCATTAAAAAACTCAATATATAACTTTATAATAAATATCACTCATAATCACAACCCCTGTGAACAAGCAGAGAAACGGATCTTTAACAGCCCGTGTCCTGCGTTCTGCGCCTGTTCCTCCTGTCATCCTCTCTTCCAGATCCCCTTCCTTTCCAAATACTTACTCCTATTTCTACGTCAAGATTTGTAAAAATTCTAAATGATTCCATAAATGTAGCTCTTCTGTGATATCTAAAGGTTGATACAAACAAGTAAAAACCAGAACATCAACATGTAAATCACATGTGTTTGAACCCAGAAAGAATAAAGTAGGTACCAGGCCATTAAAATGTTGCCACTTGGTCCTGCTGGTTTGGTTCAGTGGTCAGAGCGTAGGCCCACAGACCAGAGTCACGGGTTTGATTCCTGGTTAAGGGCATGTACCTTGGTTGCATCGATGTTTTTCTCTATCAAAAAAAAAAAAGTCAATGGAAAAATATCCTTGGGTGAGGATAAAGAAAAATAAATAAAATGTTGCCACTTGAAGGAGCATCTCCTAAGTGTCAACATCCAATGGATAATCTTTCACTTTCAAATTCCCTTTCATTTTCCTGGTCCCTCTCTCGTACCAATGAAATCAGTGTATACAGGAGGTGGACACCGGTGTGATGGTTAATTGTGTGTGTCAAGTTTCCTGACCCATAGGGCACACAACATCTGGTGTGGGATCCGGACAAGAGAAGGCCCCCGCAGGTCCAGATCCAGACCCACGTTTCCGGAGCGGAGCGGCAGGGAGGGGCAGGCAGGAGCCCCTGGCAGGCCCTGTAGGTGAATCATAGCACAGGCCTTTAGGATCTGGGGGCAAAGCCCTGCTCTACTGCAGATCACAACTCTCCTTTTGAGAAACAGCTCTTGTGTAGGGTTGGGAGTTTGGGGGATGAACAAAATGTAACCTTGAGGTATGCATTCCAGAGACCTGGCCAAAGGTCAAAGTATGCAGGTGAATAGATGTTTGCCTGGAGGGTTTGAAAGCCACCCTATCTGTATTGAATACGTGTGAATAGATAAGATCTGCATGGGAAAGGGTGATGGCTCAGGTATGAATGAGTTTGTTTTGATGTATCCCTGCTGAAAACAGTGAGAGACAGGAAATATGCAGGGATTGGCTGTATGGTGAGCAGAGACTTGATCGCAAGGACTTAATTACCTAAAACACCATGTAACTGAGGGAACCACTTTGCAAATAAATTGGGCTGCACCCAGAGATCTGGAGCATTTTCTCCCTTGCGATGCTCCCCTCACTCCTAGCAGTGTCTGCTTGTAGTTCGTTGCACTGTGACGACCCCCGGCAGGCTGAGGCGGCACTAGTGGGCCTCAGCAGAGATGGAATGGAGGCAGTGTATCTGTGATGCAACCCAGCAGCCCTGATGGCTCCATGAGGGGACATGAAGAAGTGGCCCCAATGCCCATGGTCCCCAACTACATTTTCTCCTCCCAGCCTGCCCCGTGGCACCATGGGGACTATTTTCAGCAAATGGCAACAAGAAGCAATGATTAAAAAAGAAAATCACACAGAAACACCAAGAAGTGTTTTTGAAAAAGTGGTTTGAGAATTTACTGTACAGGTTTTTTTAAACAATTTATTTATATGTTGGCTTCTACATGTTCTTACATTTGTGTAAAACATTTATACATATTCTTTACAATTTGTACATATATTAAATGGCTATATCATAAACACTGTTCTATGAGATTTTATAAAAGAAAAATCAAGGGAAAATTACTTATAAAACATTAACAAAAACCCGTGATACTGAAGAACAAGAAATTCTCATTCATGTTCCTCTGATTTCCTCTTCTACTTATTTTTTGGTTTCACTTTATTTGTGCTGGCCCAAACTTTGCATTTTCTGTACTTTAGTGATCAGGTCAGAAAGAGAAAGCAGTGAAGGTCACGGCGGTAAGGCAATGGGGTATGACTCGCCCTGGGGTAAGACAGGGGCTGTGAAGGGCTCAGCCTACAGCGTGGTGCGCAGGTTCTGCTTTGCTTTGTGCCGCTAGCGGAAGCGCTGGTGGCCTGGCCGGGAAAGCTCCTTCTGAAGTCAGGGGTCAGGAAGGACACTGCTCTGGTTTTCTCAGCGGGGCCAGCTCTGGGGCCAGCACACCCGCAGGCGGCACCCTCCCAGGCCCAGCCCCTCCACTGGGTGGGGAGCGGTCTATGGAGCTTTCATGTTTCAGGTAACACCCACTGGCCCAAACCCACATGGAGTGGCCCATCCTGCTCTCATTGCTCGTTCTGTCTGACCAGGCGGCTGAAGACCAGAAACGGGTAAAAAGCCCTGGAGGAGCATGTCTGCCCCACCTGCCCGCGAGCACTCCTCCTGGGCACGGGTCAGCAGTCAGAGCACTGGAAAATGTCCCCAACGTCTCCCACACAATCTTTCCAGGACGAAGCTGCCCCGCGCGGAAGGCAGGCGAGGGGAGAGCGCACTCCTCCGGGCTGGCAGAGCTCCAAGCCCACTCCCGGGGCGGGCAGGGAGCCGGGGGCTGGTCCTGGGCAAGCCGCAGCCTCTAAGGGACGCCCAGGCCTGTGCTTCCTGCCCGGGGGCGCCAGCTCTCGGGTCACGAGGGTGTCAAAGGCAAGGTGGTTTTCCTAACTGGGCAGGAATCCCAAAGCACTGAGAAGAATTATAAAAATATATACAAACATATATTTTTTTTTATTCTGGCGTATTTCATATTTTTAAGAAAGCAATTAGTAATTATCCGACCCTGGGTAAGAACTGGAAGATTGTGGGTGTCTTAAAAATCAAAATTTTATGTAAAATATCAGGGGAAACCTCTAATTTTCCATGGAAAATTCTAGTGATTTTAAGTACTTTCAAAAAATAGAGACAATTTCCACTGGTTTAAATAATGGCTGTAGAAATGAACAAAAGAAGACTATGTATCTGATGCATTTAGGCTAGTAATAAAGTAAATGTAATTTTTTGCAACTCTATTTCTTTTTGGTTTTCTTTCTTTCTCTTCTGGATGGTGGGAGGAAAGGAGTTAAATTGCATCGGCCCAGTCAGGAGGAAGCACTCCGGCGTTCTCTTCGCGCCGTCCGCTCTACATGACGGGGAAGCGGCCGAGGGCCTGCCTCAGCTTCTCTGCGATCTGGTGGGAGAACATGACACTTCTGAGCCATCGCCTGTTAGGACTTCGTAGGATTTTATTCCCCCCTCTTCCGAGTTAAACATTGTAACACTTTCAAACACTCGGGTCTCCGCATCCGGGCTCTTCCAGCACCACCCCAGCTTCCACGCGGTGGCCGGAGACCTGACCCCACGCTCGCGGGGAGGGCCCGCCCCGCCCCCACCCCCGCTGGGGCAGCGCTGCCGGACTATCCACTTTCCTCCGGCGAGGCGGGAGGACCGGTCCCCTGTGAACTCCGAAAACCCAGCCTACAGGCAGCCGGTGCTCACACCCCTCTGCTCCTGCAGCGGGTAGTGTGCCTTCACCGTGGAGCTGCTGCTGTCCCGCAGGTAGGACGCGCCTACGCTCCCCCAGGACACACGCTCCTTGAGGACACAGAGGTCTTGAGTCATCCTCCGATCCTGAGCATTGGCAGTAAGTGCTTAGTACATAATAATCAATGTTTGCTCCACGAACAAATATGCACATTTTAATAACTATGTTAGGTGAATAAAGACAGTGATTAAACAGTTTCCTATTCTGAATTACAATGATATTAGTAATTAAACCTCACCTGGGCTTGAGAATTATTTAACAAATTAACATTACCAAAATTTTGAGTTGCCCTTCAGTTACTCCCCCACTTGGAACACAGGGACCTGCTTCTCTAGCACAGGGCACAAGTGACCACCCAGGCACCAACGAGTAAAAGTGCGCGGCACACAGAGCTGCACACTGTAGGGAGAACACTGCTCCCGGGAACCCTTCTGGACACTGCTCTCCAAAGCCAACCGCTCCAACGCACAAGTCACAACGCACCCAGCACTAGTCACAGCTCCCTTGCAAGATCTGGTGGCGGACACGGACACTTTCGGCAGCGTCTGGTCCAAATACAACACACGCAAGGATGTGAGTTTGGGGCTTGCCTACGACTGTCCCTGAACACACACGAGATGACACCATGAACCGCGGAGAACTTAGTAAAAACGTGGCCGCCAGCACATGGACAACCGTAAGATTATAAAGTTGCAGCGCTTGTCTTCAGATGACTGACTTTTCATTTACATGCTAAGCCTGGTTTTGTGGACTCTGGTAAACAATGAGGTTTCTACACAGGGGTACTCAGGTTCACGCCCTCATCACAGTTTTCTGAATGAAGACATCTGAGGTCTCGCTCTCTCTTTCCTTCTCTTTCTGCAGTTCCTCTGGAGCTGCGAGACCTCACTCGCAGACAAAGGCCGCCTGTGGGTCCTGAGCGGTGCCAGGCTCCTTCCTGGCTGCGCTCCCTGGGCAGCAGGGTGGCCTCGCCCATCCAGCTGTGCTCCCCGCCCACTGAGGCGTGGAGGGAGGGGAAGGAGCCACACAATAAAGGTCTTCTTGGGGCCTCACCACTAGCATCCAATACCCTGACTTTAAAAGAAAACCTTTATTTTAACTCAGTGTTATTCAAAAAGGAAAGGCAGAGGTAATTAAGAGATTCAAATAAACCCTATTCAATATTTAGCCTCTTTGGGTTTAATACTCAGGATTGAATGATACAAACAGATTAACTTTATGTGGTCAAAGTCAGTGACCAGGAACCATCCCCTGTAGGCACAGATGGACGGGACAGGAAGGCCGACTTACCGTTTCGTAGAACTGGACCTGCTGCTCCAGGTACAGGCGGATGACACTGTTGTAGTCGTAGATCCGGTTACTGTGAAAGTGATTCATCTCCGCTGCAACCAAACCAACACGTCAGTCAGTACCCCAACTCCCAAAGGACACCTGGCTTCTCTGCCTGGTTACGATTCATCACCAGCCAGGTTTACTCTGGTTGGCTTCAGGGCAGCGCCAGCTTTTGACGAATCATTTTACAAACACGACAGAGAAGCGGTTTGAACAGTACATGGCAAACGGCACTTTACAGTAGATGGTAACTTCTGTTGATCTGCATATCAAATACTATGAAACCCGAAACCTAGGATCAACCAGATGTGGGCTGCTGTTCTCAGTGATGGAGGAGGACAGCGACTGGCTGTCTTCTCTGCAGACGATGCAGTTCAGACGGCAGGTGCTCGTGCCGTGATCGGCCTGACAGGCTGGGCAGCGGCGGGGACGCAGGACGGCGCACACTGCCCGACACCAGGGCTCTCCGATGCCCACTCTTCATCTGCTATGTCCACTCAGCAAACGCATCCCGCACCAAACGTGTCCCTGGTGCCACCCCACCCCACCCGCAGAGGCACCCTTGCCAGTGCTCCGTATCGCCCCTCCACCCTCGTCCCGCACGCTCCAGGCCTAGAAAGCCAACTGCTGGCAACAGTCCTACGAAAATCTAACTGTTCTGAGTCTTATATTATCTCAAGTTGCACAAAGCTCTTCATTTACCTACCTGGATAACCCGACACAAGTTCAATGACTAATTCCCTCTTTCAAACCCTTCAAAACCCAAATGTCCATCAGGTTTCCCTGTTCTGGAATCTGTCACACATCTTTCTCCTGGGAGTGCCCTGTCCTGAAGGCCGTTCCCGTCCCCCAGCAGCACCTCTGCCAGGTCCTCCGAACCTCAGGCCACACAGACAGTGGTCCTCGGGCTGGGCTGCTGGACCAACGCCTGCCCCTCCAATGAGTAACTAGCAAACCCTTCTCCCTTGAGCACTGCCCCCCCATCAAAACCTTTACTAACTTCTTAACACCCACATCAAGTGTACACTCTTTGGACTGGCTTCCACGGCCTCCACAATCACCAGCGTTTATTCCTCAGTAACCTGCACGTATGTTTATTCCCAAGGCCAGCCTAATCCTGCACCATCACTTTATGTGCTTCTGTCCACCCTAGAGCGTCCTTCCCCTTTCTCCTTGGCCCAGAAATATTCTATCTGTCCACCCAAACAGGAAAAACCCGTTCCCTGCTCCTCTGTGCTGGAGAACACTCAGCTATGTAAAAATTAAAGAAATCTTCCTTTTACTAAGAGTCAAGCTGTGCCTAACTGCTACCTCCAAATGCCCTTCACATGCATGGTCCTCGTGTGGAGGTCACAGACTGCTAAAAGCGGAGCCTGGGACTCTGACAGCATTATGATAGATGCTGACATGAAGGCTGTAAAAGGCAGCTTCAATGTCCCTAAGAAACAGTAACAATGTGCACGTTCAATCAAGCCGTCATTCACAGCTACGTCAGGTGCACGACAGATCCTCATTAACACTGGGGTCCTCCAACAGAGGCTGATGAGGACAATTCAGATCAGCTCTTACTTCACTGTTGTTCACATCTGGACTTCTCTCCAGCTAGGAAAACAGCAACTTTGCTGGGAAAACAATCTCAGCAGCGACACACAGGCCTTCTTACCTTGTAATGCGTAAGACATGGTGCCCACACGTTTCACCATGTTCTGTTTGTCCTGGGGAGTGATTTTGCTAGTTGCAACTAGTTTATCGCTTTCTTTTACTTTTTCTATTGCTCCCTGTGAAATACAGACATGAATGGCATCAGTAAAACAAAACTAAAAAGATTAGTCATCCATTTAAAATGTAACAATGCAACTTCTTTTATAATTGACTTGCTGTTGAACAGGAAAAGGGCCCCACAAGATAAGACCATAGAAAAGCATCTAAATATAACTTCCTTTAAGGCACTTAGAAGCAAAAAAGGTTACTGTTCTTGAAAACTGTAACTGAACTAAGATGGAGTTTTCTGTTCCGCCCGGCAGGGAACCAGGGAACGGGGCGGGGCCCTTTCCTGGAGTCTGAGCAGCCCGGCCAGGTAGGAGCAGCTCACTGTGCGCGGGAGGTCTGCCCTGTGCACACACAGCACCCTCTGCCTCCTTGTACTACAGGGGAGGCGTTTGAGGCTGGGGCTCAGGCGCAGGTCACACGGCTTAGTTTGGCTGAGATTTCTGTAAGACACACGTAATCAATTTTAAATTAATACTTAGACGGACATAGCTGCAAAAGCTGCCCAACACCTCCTGCACTGGTGCCACCCAGTGTCATTATTGAGGGCCGTCTGGAAGCCTCTACGCTCAGCACAAGTTGGGCTCCAGGCCTAGAATCCTCACTCTGCTGACAAAAATTTCTGCAACAAGCTAACTATTCTGAGTTTTTTTCACTGAGATTTAAATTTTATTAATTTTACTTTTTTCAGTTTTATTGAAATATAATGACATACAACATTGTATTAACTCAAGGTGCGCAACATAATGACTTAATATGTGTGTCTATGTTGAAATGATTACCACAGTCGTCTAGTGAACATCTGTCTCCCTCACAGAGCTACAAAACGTTTTTTCTTGTGATGAGAATCTTTCAGATCTACTCTTCCAGCAATTCTACTGTTACACATTGGAAGGAAACAACATTACAATCTCAGAGATACAGCACCAGAAATACAGCACTCCCAGGCCACGGGGCATGATTTCAAAGAGCCAAGACACCAGATGAGGGGTAAGGAAATGGTTCTGAGTTTCATATGAAGATATCTCAAGTTGCACAAATATCTCATCCACCTATATAACCTCTTCATACTTTAATTACAAAGCCAAATGTTAAAATGCACACAGACCAGTCCTTTGTAGAGAGGTTTCTAATAAACCCCAATACATCACTATAGCCTCAAGTACTACAGTTGATTAAATACCCAAAATTCTGTGGTAATACACAGATTTTGAAACAGAAAAAGAAAATTTAACCAGAATCAAAATGTGAGTATACCTTAACCCAATTTTTATATTTAGTTTAAAAATATCTTTTTGATAGAAATTATAGATTCCTTTTTATTAATATGGATAAACATATAGCCCCAACACTGACCATTTTAATTTTAATTAGAAAACCTGACTCAGGGAAAGAATCTTATTTCATTTGACAGATAAAGATCTTTAAGAACTTCCCAAGCAGTTTACAGGGGGTCTCACTAATAAGAGAAAGATTCCCATTATTGTCTCAAATTTCAAACATCATGATCATTGTTTGATACCTGACCTAACTATATGCATAACGAAGTACTTTTCATATTTTTAGTTCCTTCAGAATAATCTTTTTATATAACGAAAGAAACTAAAATCCACTCTCACACCCAAACCTGTGAGGGGCCTTGCTATTTAAACACTCCAAGGACTCCCAGGGGTTCCAGAGGCTTCTCCCGACTCAGAGTGTGTGAAGGTGGGCGGGGCTCCAGTCCTGACTCACTCATGCTGTCTGTCTTCTGTCAACGTCTACAGTCAAGTTACCTTGTGAGCGCCAATAATGTCCGGGAAGCAGCCAAGGAAGCCCTTGTACTCATGATTACACTCCATCAGGAAATGGAGATCTTTCTTTGGCTACAGTAAGACACAGGTTGGTTGTTACTGGCAGAGGAATTCAGACAATCAAGGAACAAAAAACGTGTATCAGAGGACTGTATTAGCCAATCCTCCAGGTACGACATTAAGTTATTGAGTGTTAAGCATTCAACTTAGATTTCCTACAAGAAAATAATCCCCAAGACTATTATACCCTCAACCACAGGTTGCAAAGAAAATGATAAAACATCAGATAATTTTTTGTTGGTTGGTAAAATTAGCTATTTTGAGGTGGTCCAAAATGCAACACAATGAGGAAAAAAACCAGTTAAGACTATATGTTTACGCCCTGGCCGGTTTGGCTCAGCGGTTAGAGCGTCGGCCTGCGGTCCAGAGAGACCCGGGTTCGGTTCCTGCTAAGGGCACGTACTTCGGTTGCAGTTTGTCCCCGGCCCTGGTTGGTCGTGCGGGTGGCAGCCACTCGATGTGTCCCTTCACGTCGATGTTTCTCTCTCTCTCTTCCTCTCTCTCCCTCCCACTCTACCTGAACAAAAAATGGAAAAATGTCCTCGGGTGAGGATTAAAAAAAAAAAAAAAAAAAAAAAAAAGACTATATGTTTACATATAAGGAAATCAGATGTTACAGTTTAATGTCTAAATTAGCAAAGAAGATAAAAATATTATTAGAACCTCTCTCTAGCAATCATTTTAATTCGCAACTTTAACATTTTCCATTTTTTTGAATTATAATTTTTAATAACTATGTTATGCACAGTTCTAAAAATTACTCTTTTTCACTAGTAGCCGAGAGTAGTTAGTGACATGAATGTGTGTCCACAGGCACACGTACACATTTAAAAAAGTTATCTGAGCCCTGGCCGGTTTGCACAGTGGTTAGAGCGTCGGCCTGCAGACCAGAGTCGCGGTTTCGTTTCCAGTCAAGGGCACGTACCTCGGCTGCAGTTCGTCCCCGGCCGTGGTCAGGGTCGTGTGGGAGGTAGCCAGTTGACGTGTCCCTCTCACGTTGATGTTTCTCTCTCTCTCTCTCCCTCCCTCTCACTCTATCTGAAGATAAATAGAAAAATAACCTTGGGTGAGGATTTAAAAAAATAGTTATCTGAAAAAGTTTTCATTTAGGGATTTGAAACAACTTAGATGACCATTCCTCTTGAAGGAACTTATTTCTGTGATCTGTACAGAGAAGTGAGATCGGGCTACTAGACTCCAGTGAACACCATGTTCTGTGGCAGAGCCGTGCTCCAGGCTGGGACTGGAGCAGGTGCCGTCTCTTTAGTGGCTGGTGTATCCCAAGCTCCATGTGAGTGAGTTCCTTACAAGGGTGGCGCCACCGTCACCATTTTCCAGATGAGGAAACTGAGGCTCAGGAAGAGTCCAAAGGGGAGTGGAACAGTGCTCCTTCCTGTACATACTGATCCCTGATGGCTAATGACAGATCCGAGCCCTCGAGACGGACGGTATCCTTTTAGATTTCTTGACAACATTATCTATCACTTTAGCTTAACCTAAGAGACACTGTTACCTAACATATTAGCAAAGGTACATAGGAATAGAGAAGAGGAGGATATCCATTTGGAAAGTTTGTCTTTAAACTGATTTTAAATTAACTATGTAGATTAGCTGGCATAAAATCTTAATTGGACTTATGTGGTTATGCTAATGGTACCTGTTCTGCCACGAGACTGGCAATTTCTTCGTAAGTCTTTCCTGCTTCTGTTATTGCATCATTGAGATCTGTTTCACCTGAAAGTCATTACAATTATGAGTGGTTGTAAGTTATACTGTCTTATCATTCATTTTATTTTAAAAATTTTATTATAGAAAATTTCATTTTTCAAAACTAAACAGAAAACATATTGCATCCCCATCTACCCATCACCTAGTTTCCCAAATGGTTCATGGGCAGTATTTCTTCACGTACACTGTCCACTCCCACTCCCTTCACCGGCCACACAACATTTCATCCATAAATTTTACTCAGAAGACTCTTTAAAAAATAAGGACAATACCATATCACAATTAAGACAAGACCATTGTCCCTGACGTCAGTTATTAGTCAGTGTGCAGCCTTCTGGCATCCCGGATCATGCTGTCTGTCTGAACCGGGGTGTACAAACATCCACCAGGCATTAAGCTGATGTGGTTTTCAAATCTGCAGGTTCCTTCTCCACGTTCCTTTTTCTTCTCACGAAATCTCTGTTTGGGTGTGTTGAAGAAACCAGGTCGTTTGCGTTGGTGCCTGCAGTCTGGGCTCTGCTCACGGTCTCTGCTGTGGCAGTGAAGTCCCTGTTCCCTGCATTTTCATTACTGTGCTGAGATCTGGGGCTTGATCAGGTTCAGAGGACAGAATTTCCAGTTACTTCTCTTCTGTGTGACGCTAGAAGCCACAGATGATGATCCCTGTCTAGACCTTTATTTTAGTGTGGGGCTACAAAAACCGTGCGGTTCCACTTCTCTCCCTATTGGCTGAAATAGTTCTATAAAGAGAAACTTTCCTTGATCAACTTTTTGGTTACCTTGAGGCATAGGAATAGAAAAAGCAGGTTGAAATGTTTGCTTCTTCTACTTTGTATTTCTCAGAATAATGGGTTGATCCCCCACCAAAGGCGCATGACATTAACATTTCGTGAAGTACCATGGAATCAAACATGAATTTAAACATATTTGATATGCGTCATTTCAATGAACAAAGTTAATTATTTGTACTAATGCTCAAATTTTTTCTTCATTGAACAGTCAGTGGAAGGCTCTTCAAATTGGCATCAGAGTTCTTTTGCTAAACAGGAAACTTGTTCATGTTGGTGGCAGGGGCTACTTAGAGATCATCATGTGGGTGAGTGGGGTGCTTCCTCCTACGGGATGGGATCTGTGGTTCTAGCTCTTTTAAGTGAACAGAGCAAAGCACACTAATGTTTTTAAAAAAGTAAAACACGTGTTTTAAAACCTTAGTGTTAACAGCAACACAATTACGTATTTGCTTTACTTTACACAACATATAAAATAATTTTAGAAGTTCTGGAATAACAATACCAATATTATATTGCTAACCATATTATTGTTGAAAATAACTGAATTTTGGGCTGTCACATACACCATAAAACATCTACTATTAGAGATGTACACTCAAAAACTGTGTTTTAAGCTGCTCTGAAGTAATTCCTTTGTGCAGTTAAGCCTTCATCTTTATGTATCAAGTTATTTGTTTTATTTTGCTTTTCTGTCTTAGGAAATTTTTTTTAACATTTGACTTAAATTTGTTTTCTAATAATTATATTGGTTCCAAAGTCAAATTTATCAAAAAAGATATGAACAGAAGTCTAGCTCCCTTTCTTCCTCTATCGATAACCATTTAAAATATGTTATCAATTGTATTTTCAAGATAACCCACAAGAACAGGAATTGTTTCACGAATTTGTGCAAGGGCCATGCTAAGAGTCTCTGTATTGTTCCAATATTAATACATGTACTGTTGGAGGGAGCATGGAGTGATAGCTAATGTAACACATGTACTGTTGGAGGGAGCATGGAGTGATAGCTAATGTAACACATGTACTGTTGGAGGGAGCATGGGGAGTGATAGCTAATGTAACACATGTACTGTGGGAGGGAGCATGGGGAGTGATAGCTAATGTAACACATGTACTGTTGGAGGGAGCATGGGGAGTGATAGCTAATGTAACACATGTACTGTTGGAGGGAGCATGGGGAGTGATAGCTAATGTAACACATGTACTGTGGGAGGGAGCATGGAGTGATAGCTAATGTAACACATGTACTGTGGGAGGGAGCATGGGGAGTGATAGCTAATGTAACACATGTACTGTTGGAGGGAGCATGGAGTGATAGCTAATGTAACACATGTACTGTGGGAGGGAGCATGGAGTGATAGCTAATGTAACACATGTACTGTGGGAGGGAGCATGGAGTGATAGCTAATGTAACACATGTACTGTTGGAGGGAGCATGGGGAGTGATAGCTAATGTAACACATGTACTGTGGGAGGGAGCATGGAGTGATAGCTAATGTAACACATGTACTGTGGGAGGGAGCATGGAGTGATAGCTAATGTAACACATGTACTGTGGGAGGGAGCATGGAGAGTGATAGCTAATGTAACACATGTACTGTGGGAGGGAGCATGGAGAGTGATAGCTAATGTAACACATGTACTGTGGGAGGGAGCATGGAGTGATAGCTAATGTAACACATGTACTGTGGGAGGGAGCATGGAGAGTGATAGCTAATGTAACACATGTACTGTGGGAGGGAGCATGGAGAGTGATAGCTAATGTAACACATGTACTGTGGGAGGGAGCATGGAGAGTGATAGCTAATGTAACACATGTACTGTGGGAGGGAACATGGAGTGATAGCTAATGTAACACATGTACTGTGGGAGGGAGCATGGAGAGTGATAGCTAATGTAACACATGTACTGTGGGAGGGAGCATGGAGAGTGATAGCTAATGTAACACATGTTCTGTGGGAGGGAGCATGGAGTGATAGCTAATGTAACACATGTACTGTTGGAGGGAGCATGGAGAGTGATAGCTAATGTAACACATGTACTGTGGGAGGGAGCATGGAGAGTGATAGCTAATGTAACACATGTACTGTTGGAGGGAGCATGGAGTGATAGCTAATGTAACACATGTACTGTGGGAGGGAGCATGGAGAGTGATAGCTAATGTAACACATGTACTGTGGGAGGGAGCATGGAGAGTGATAGCTAATGTAACACATGTACTGTTGGAGGGAGCATGGAGTGATAGCTAATGTAACACATGTACTGTGGGAGGGAGCATGGAGTGATAGCTAATGTAACACATGTACTGTGGGAGGGAGCATGGAGTGATAGCTAATGTAACACATGTACTGTGGGAGGGAGCATGGAGTGATAGCTAATATAATCCAAGACACCCTCAGGCACTGAAAACATCTGCATTACGCGAGATCACGGTGTAGTCCCGCCACAGGACAGGAGCAATCCAAGTGAAGGGAGACGTGGCAAGACACAGTGATCCTCCTGCTGACCTTCACTTTCCTTGAAACGAGAGAAATTGTCAATGGGGACTTGTGTTCATAAACGAGAGCTCCAAATCTTAAATCGTGGTGAGACTAATTTCTTATTCCTGAAAATACTCAGACACGAACATGCAAAGACCTATGATCCCTGGGATCAGGAGAAACACCCTGGTGAAAGTACCAATTCTATCACTTCTGTAAGTAACAGGACATACTCCAATTCAGTAGGTGCCACTCACCTAACACCCACCTTTACTTCCTACCTGCTCCATAGGCCAAATGAAAAATATAAACCAAAATGTAAAGGAAAACAGCTAACTTGTTCTCATAAGTGTTATCAATATCAACATACAATGAACAGGAAATATTAAATCAAAACAATTACGAGTTATGGAGAGAATTAAGGCAACGTGAATTTGTTAGTCAAAAATTGTTCCTCCAGCCCTGGCCGGTTTGGCTCAGAGGTTAGAGTGTCGGCCCACGGACCAGAGAGACCCAGGTTCAGTTCCCTGCTAAGGGCACGTACCTCAGTTGCAGTTCGTCCCCAGCCCCTGTTGGGGTTGTGTGGGTGGCATGTCATGTCTCTCTCTCACATTGATACCCCCCCTCCCCCCCACCAGCTTCCGCAATGCAAAAATGTCCTTGGGTGAGGATTAAAAAAATGTTTTTTCAAAACCTGTTCCTCCACATGACCTTGATGAGAGCTGGCCTGTGTAATGGGAACACCTGACTTGACTGCAGCTCAGCGGAGATGAAACAGGGCCGAGCGCTACATGTTAGAGCCAGCCGCCTGCTTTATGAAAACACGAGCTAGGGGAAGAGAGGCCAAGAAGCTAGTAAGAAAATACAAAAACAACTCTCCACTCTTCTCGAAAGTAACAAGGCGAGGGTGCAGAAGTCCTGAGTGGAGCAGCCCAGCCAATCTGAGTCCACATTCGGGTGCTACCTGCAGAATTCTTGTTTGTCCGCAGGAGCCTGAAGAGGGCGGTCAGTCTGGAGAAGACACTCAAGGCCCAAGAATAAATAAACAAAGATGTACCTTGATAACCGCTGGAACTGAACACTGTCGCTAGGCTCTGCAGGGCCTTTCCTATCTTCTGATACTCCTTGGGTAACGCTGAAAGGAAAACAATGGTCAACTAGTCCTCTGAGCAAACGGAAATGGGATTCAACTATTTTCTAAAAGTGATTACTTTTATAACAGAAATTTGAAGTGATTAAAAATAGTCTCTATTCTTTAATAAAATGATTGGTTGTTCTTTTTTAATTTAATATTGATTGATTGAGAGAGAGAGAGAGAGAGAGAGAGAGACACTGATTGGCCACCTCGTACATGCCCCCTACTGGAGACTGGGCCGTGGTTTTTTAAAATTAATGATTGCTTTTTTCAATCGTATTCTTTCAATGTGTAATTAATCAGTTGTTCAATTAATGGTGGGTGGTATTAACAACCACCACCACTGCCCACATTCTCATTCAGCGAATTTCAATCAAAGTGGACAGCAGCTCGTCAGGTGATTCTGGCAAACAGCGTTGTCACGTAGACCATCCACGCAATCACAATGATTCCCGCCCGATGCGGACGCCTCCTCCACTTCATGATTAGAAAAATAAGGGTCAGATAAGTGAACTGATGTGCTCAGAGTTACATGGCTAATAAATGGTGGATTTTTCACTTCTGATTCCAATTGCATTGCTTTCCCCACTCTACTATGTTTGAATAATTATTTGCAGAACAAAACAACAAAAAAACAAAACTGAAAGCAACAAGGTGTGGAGAAAAAACGACAGTGGGACTTCCCAGGACTAGGGAGGAGAGATTTTAGTTTTCTCATCTGTAGAATAAAATTAGTAACTGCTCTCTAAGGTTCCTTCTAGTGCTAAAATTCTAGGAGCCTAGGATCACTTTGGAGAACTTGCTAGAGAAGAGTCTCTGCATCTTAGGCAGTTTTCTTTGCATCTGTATATGTATAGTCTCCTCACACACATCTTTGCCTTTAAAAAGAAACCTTATTTGCATTTGAAGAATTAGTACAGTATTACAGAAGAAAAGTGATTCAAATGTTTCTTTAAGAAAAAAATCTAGGCCAGAGAAATCTGAACTATGGTCCGGAAACTAGTAATCAGGAAACACAAATTCAGCCTACATTAGCTTACTTTTCATAAATTATTCACCACTTGTAACTCAATTTTTGCTTCTATTCCTGGGGTTACAGACACATGATTCCCATACAGAGTGTGCTAAATTCCTCACTTAACAGATTAGGAATAAAAACACAACAACAACTTCTTTGTGAGGGAAAAGGAGAAAGAAGATGCGCCTGAATCAAATCCTGAACAAAGCACTTCAACTGCCACCCTCCGCCCTTGAAGGAGCCTTAAAGACCACATTCCTCATTTCGTAAATGTGGCCTTTTGGGTTCTAACGGACACAGAACTGACTAGATGTTAGATATAAGGGAGTTGATTCTTTAAAAGAAATCATAATCCCAGATTTCTGTGGTATCTTTAAAAAAACTCAAGACCTGTTGCCTGGCCGGTGTGGCTCAGGAGTTGAGCACTGACTCATACACCAAGAGGTCACTGGTTCGATTCTAGGTCAGGGCACATGCCCAGGTTGTGGGCCCGATCCCCGGTGGGGGGCATGCAGGAGGCAGCCAATCGATGTTCTCTCTCATCGACGTTTGTATCTCTCTCCCTCTCCCTTCAAAAATTAATAAAGAAAAAAATATTTTATGAAAAACTCAAGACTTGTACTTATTTAAAATATTTCTTAAAAAAGGAAACAGCTTTCAAAACACATGCAGGTTTAAATGATTTGTTATTAAGGCCTCATAAGAGTTTACAGCTAAAATGCATTCATAATGGTTTTTTTTTATCCTCACCTGAGGACATTTTTGCATTTATCTTTAGATAGAGCAGGAGGAAGAGAGGGAGAGAGAGAAACACTGATGTGAGAGAGACACATCGAGTGGCTGCCACCCACACGACCCAACCGGGGCCGGGGACAAACCGCGCGCCCTTAGCGGGAACCGAGCCCAGGACTGTGGTCCACGGGCTGGCGCTCTAACCCTGAGCCAAACCAGCCAGGGCTGCATCCATGACGTAAATGAATGACCTCACTTGCACTCTAGAGAAGTGCACTCCCTGCTCACTCACGGTCACTGCTGGTGACCACAGGCTTGGAGGACTCTGCCGGCCCCGCATCGGCACACCCGCTTCCCCAGGCTCAGTCCTGCTCTCGCGCAGCCGCGCTCCCCGGCACAGGACGGCGTGTCTGCCCCAGGCACGCGGAGCTGCCCTACGGGGGTTTCGTGGATGTAAACTGTGTGGTGGAGGCCCCCTCAGGCTGAGGCGCGCATGCCTTTTTTTTTGCAAAGGGCCAGACAGTGAGTACTTCAGGCACGGTGCGGCCACAGGTTTCTGTTGCGACTACACAATTCTGCCACTGGAACAGGAAAGCAGCCACAGACGACATGTGAATAAATGGGGATGGCTGTGTTCCTACAGCACCTTCTTTCAAAGGTGGGGGACGGCCAGATGTGCCTGCAGGCCAGATGGAAGTGTTCACTTTCAGGTCAGGGTCAACGGATTTTATAACTGCTATTAACTCTGTTATGCTATTTTAATATTTCACCCCAAGCCACTCCATATTCAGTTTCTTGTTCATTAAAGTTGTTTCAAACTTCAAATTCTGATTCTTTCCTATTATTTAGAGAAAAAATACCACCTTAAAAAAATATCTTTACAAAAATGGATAATTTAACCTCCTTCCTATGCTGAGTACCAAAGCACTAATGTGATTTAAAAATGGCTATGTATTACTTTTACACTTCAAAGTAAAGCCATTTTTATTTTTATGTTGCTTTTATCTTCAGGCAGTGTGGGAGGGAGGGGGGAAGAGAGAGAAACATCGATGTGAGAGTCGCATCGGTGGCCCCGCTCCTGGAGCCTCCCAGCCTCGGGGCGAACAGGGCAGAGGTGCGGCAGGCACAGCTGCACACCTGCTTCCAGCCGGGCGAAGTGACAGCAGAGCTGCCTGGCTCTGGGGAACGCAGCACATGTGCTCTGGCAGAATGACAGTCGCAGGCAGGGGACGTGAGGGGACAAGAAGACCTGGCGGACGTGAGACCGCAGGCGGAAGCCATGGCCGACGGGGCCACGTGCCCCAAGCAGTGCTCCCAGTCTGACCTGTCTTATGCTTTCTACCAATTACATGGGTTTTTTTCCCCCTAAAAATTAGGGCGTTAGTCAAATCAATGTCTTACCAATGGATGAAGATTAAAAATAAATTCATAAGAGTAAAATAACCACAAGCATTCTCTGAACATGCAGGAAAGGTGAATTTTCCATAGATTACAAAACCCCAGTAACAGGAACTAGTTAAGCAAATGTGGTATTTTTGATGCGCGTTCTCGCACTGGCTTTGTTCGAGACAACTGTCTGTTGTCTAACTCGGGTTGAGAAGCGAGGGTCACTGGAGAGCTCGGAAGGACATGACTTCAGGTCACTGCACAGTTCGGCCTGAGGGTGCGGCCCCGACCGGGAGGGGAGGGTCACTCACGTCCTGTGCAGCGTTTCCAGTGCTCCTGCCCCACGGTCAGCAGCTCCTTCACGCCGTCATCCATGGCTTTCGTGAACTTGCCGACAGCATCGCACTTCTGTTCGCTGTGGGGCAAAAACACAAGAAGGCGCCTTCTGGGCTTAGCTACCAAATGTCCAGGGTCCGGTGTGGGAGGAAAAGCACCAACGTGGTCAGGGAGACTCACACCGAACGAAACCACAAGTGCTTGTTTTCTTGCATTGTAACAACCGCCCTTTAAGCAAATCAGTCATTAAACAGGTTTGATTCAGGTTTTTAAAGAACTGCTTAGAAATGTGCCATTTACATTTTACTATTTCCCTTCCCCCTCAATTCCCTGTGAATGTTAAGTAAAATTATTCTAACGTGAATAAAATCCTCATTTCTCAAATTTCTTATTTGGTAAAATTCAATTATGGGTGGTACCATGGAACCTCTAAAACAATAATATGGGTTGCTCATGGTAAGTAGGTGTTCATTCTTGCCAACAGTGAGCCACAGAAACTATCCTGGATACAGGACCATCCAAGGCAGCAATTTTCAATCACCGTGTTGCAGAATTTTTGAAACATGCAATACCTGACTATTTAGTCAGAGGCACTGACCTCTTTTCCCTAAGACTGTCAAATAAAAGAAAACAACAGCCAATACAACAATGACCACTCGGTGTGAATGAATCAAAATCATACCTATTTTTTTGGTCAAATCAGCGAAAAATATATTTTTTGGTGTCCACAGAATTTTAGTAACTAGTTTATGTGTGCCGGGATGAAAAAGGTTGAAAACCGCTGATCTAAGGTAATACTGAACATACCAGTTCTTTAAGGATGTTAAAAGTATTTACCAGCCTGAAAAAGTCATCACAATATACTCTGAAACTTAAGATTATAAAAGAATGCAGGGTGGGAGGGCATCTCTGCTTAGACAATCTTTGCCTTCGATGCCTGTGCCGAGGAGGGTGAGGGAGACTGCAGATGGAGGCCAGCATTTTAACACTGACTTTCTCTGGGCAGTTGAAAGACTGCAGACATTTTTCCCTTGTCTATATTTTTGGTAACACATAAGCAATGATTCTATAAGAAAAAAGTTTCTTAAAATAAAAATAAACCTCAAGCCTTTTTATTAGTCCTTACATAGAAAAAAACTACTCCGGATTATCAACCAAGCCTACACTAAAAAAAGATGACACGATTAAAAACGACAGATAAAGAACTCAGTAAAAACAGGTCAGAGATGCCTTCCTTCGAGGCCATGTTCAGAGAGCTCGGCTCTGGCTGTGCCGTGGGTGTGGGCGGGCTCTGCGCCCCTTTGTCTCATCACACTTCGGTGGGAGTAGCCACCAACTACTGCGTCAACTCGGAAACCACCGACTGCCAGGTAAAAAGCAGCCAGACTCTCATCTGCCACCGGCTGGAAAGACGTGTTCACACCGTGACGCTCTCCTCGACTACGAGCCCATTCACTTCCTACACTCAAGTTTGACCGAGTTCCACTTGGAGCTGGACTGGCCAGACCTGTGAGCAAAGGGGGCGGACAGTGGAGAAGAAGGCAGATTGGGCAGTTATCTCTTACATTTCTATTAAGTCCAAGTCAGGGGCCTCTGGTTCCATGGTGGAGAATATCATAACTCCCACCAGCTCATCTTTCTCGGCCTTCCTCTTCCCAGTTTTCCATTCCTGTAAACGGGAGTGTCGTGAGTTAACTGTCTGAGAGCGCAAACTGGTCTGTCAAACCCCCTGGTAGAACTGCTCTCTGAGCATCTCCAATTCTCAGGAAGCAGAGCTCACGCCGTCTCTCTGCAGCACGGGCCAGGCCTACACATCTCAAATGTGACCTCGTATGTGGCAGTGCCCTGCACGGCATGGTCTCCGGGAGCCCAAGGTCTATGAGTGAGGTGACTCAGCCACTGTTCCTTTCCCAGCAGCTACTAATCTAAACACAGGGAGTATAAACACACCCTATGAATTCTGACAATGCGCCTCTAGTTTTTAGGTTATTTAGTTCTAAAAAAGGTTAAAGCTTTTCTAAAATACAAGATGAGTATGAATAGTATGAGATAATTTTAAAAACATATTATTGCAAGATATATGTGCCATATATACACGTACATATAGAAAAGTGTCCGATGCAAGGAATGCTCATGCACTGCTGTGTAATTAGCACCGAGCCCGAGAACGAGGAAAGAGCTGGCATTCCAGAAGGCCCCTCCCGCCCCTTCCCAGTCACTAGCCTTTCTGCCCCACGAGGGTGAAGAGCCATCGCCCTCTCTCCTTCATGGCTGCCATTCCCTCCCTTTTCTTTAGCTTTGCCACCTAAGCATGAGTCCCCAAATTACAGTTTTGCTCGTTTTTTTTTTTAAACTAGCAAAGAACTCTACATACAGTTTTGTGTTTGTGGCTTCTTCTGCTCAATATGTATAGGAGCTGAATTCACACTGTTGTTATAGCTGCACAATACTCCATTGTACGAATATTCCACCATTTATTTGTCCATTCTAACACCGGTTGTCACCCTTGGCCCCTACCAAGTTATGAATGAAGCGGCTATGTATATGTCTCCTGACACACACACACACACACAGACACGCGCGCGCGTTTCTCTTAGGTATACTAGGAGTGGAAAATTGTTTGACTTTAGTAGATAACATGAAACTGTCTTCCAAATTGGTCTTACCAATTTGCACACCCACCAGCAGTGTGTGAGTTCCAGCAGCCCCTCATGTCACTGAGAAGACACTTGATCTGATTAGATCTTCTAAATCTGGCGAGTACGCAGTGGTATTCCCCGTAGCATTTCCTTGATGCTAATGATAGTAAGTACTTTTCTAAACATTTGTTCAGGATTCAGATACTTTCTGTTGGGAAGTACTTGACCAAATCTACAAATTTTCTGCTGGGTTGATTATCTTATCTTTTTATATGGGTTTTCATATATTCTAAAATCCAGCCCTTGGTTGGTTATTCATGTTCATATCTTAGTTTATTTTTCACTTTTAATGGCTTCTGCTGATAAACAGTAGTTCTTAATATTTTTTTTATTTATTATTATTATTATTTTTTTATCCTCACCCGAGGATATTTTTCCATTTTTTGTACAGATAGAGTGGGAGGGAGAGAGAGGAAGGGAGAGAGAGAAACATCGACGTGAAGGGACACATCGAGTGGCTGCCACCCGCACGACCAACCAGGGCCGGGGACAAACTGCAACCGAAGTACGTGCCTTTAGCGGGAACCGAACCCGGGTCTCTCCAGACCGCAGGCCGACGCTCTAACCGCTGAGCCAAACCGGCCAGGGCAGTAGTTCTTAATTTTAACTCAGTGGAATTTACCTGTCTCGTCCCACATGGTTAGTCATTTTTGTCTCATTTCAGAAAGCCTTCCCTACTCTAGGGGGATGAAGATATTCTCCCGCGTTATCTTCTAGAAGCTTTACTGTGTTGCCTTTCACATTTACACATGAGAATGATCTGGAATTGAGTTTTCAAAAACTTTAAACAATGGAAACTTTCAAACATACACAAAAGGTAGAGAGAAAGTACAAGCCCCTACAGACTCAGCCCTCAACAATTATCAAAATTTTGCCAATTTTGTTTTATCTACTTTCCTCTATTCTACCTGTTTTTCTTGCTTATTTAAATGGAAATCTCAGATATAATTTCAGCTATAAGGCTGTGTTATATATTCTTAACATATAAGGCCATGTTTTACAAACATAGATATAATACGAACACCAGCCCTAACAAGATCAACAGTACATTATTATGAGGTGGCACCAAATTTCACCTTCCCCCGTGGTGCCTTCTAATGGGCTCAGTATCATTCATTACAAGGACTGTCCCTCCCCATTGAACTCCGCATCCTCTGTGTCACATACACAAGTGTCCACTCCGTTCTATTCTGCTGGTCTGTTTGTTTATCTTTATGCTTCTGAAATCATTGCAGCTTTACAGTGAGTCTTGATATCCGATAACGTCCTCCTCCCACTTCATTCTTGTTCAAGAGTATCTCGGCTCTTTAATGCTTTGACGTTCTCATATGACATCTTTACTGCTCTTCAATCCATGAAAGATAATACTGGAAAATTTATTTACGTCTTCTTTTATTTTTCTCAACAACGTTTCACAGTCTTTTATGTAGATTTTTTGTAAATTTTCTTGTATTTACTCCTAGATATTTGATATTTTTCATGCTATTGTAAATGATACGTTTTTTAGACTTTCATTTTGTTTATTGCAGTATATAAATACGCAATGTCTTGTATCCAGCTATCTTACTAACAACTTATTTCTAGTAATTTTTCTGTACCTGCATTGGGATTTTCTGTGTCCATCCATCTATATGTTACTGTTGACCATAAAATCACAGTTTTAAGTGATTATTTAGGTTTACACTGTCATTTAGGAGGTGATGAAATTGTGACCCAAAGAGTTTAAATGCCCAGCCAAGATCACAGAGGAAGTTATAAGCAGAGCCAAGACTAGAACTCAAATGCCCTGACTCCTTTTTCACCCACTGACACCCTCCTCCCCCCACCCCCAGCATTGTTGTCTATGTCCATGGTTATGCATATACACATACAAGTTCTGTGGTTTACCTCCCCCTCCCCTCCCCATCTTCTGAGGTTTGTCAGTCTGCACTCTACTTCTATGTCTCTGGGTCTATTTTGTTCACTCCTTTTTTCTTTTATATTACTTTTATGGTAAGTTGATCAATCTTTGAAGGTGGCAGTCATTAAAAAAAATGAACGTCTAGATTATTATTTTTAGGATTCTGCATAAAACACAACCTTTAGGCCCTGGCCAGTTTGGCTCAGCGGTTAGAGCGTCCGCCTGCGGTCCAGAGAGACCCGGGTTCGGTTCCCACTAAGGGCGTGTACCTTGGTTGCAGTTTGTCCCGGCCCTGGTTGGTCGTGCGGGTGGCAGCCGCTCGATGTGTCCTTTTCACATCGATGTTTCCCTCTCTCTCTCTTTCTCTTTCTTCCTCTCTCTCCCTCCCACTCTATCTGTACAAAAAATGGAAAAATGTCCTCGGGTGAGGATAAAAAAAAAAAACAACAAAAAAAACACAACCTTTAGAAGTGTTTTCTAAATAAATCCTTGTCAAATCAATCAAATAAGCCCTTGTTGAAGTCTGTGAGTCACCAGGAAGGCAACAAACTTGGAGGGGGTTCTACAGTTTCTGTAACTACAAGAGAACAAAACTGACTCACAGAACCCAAAGAACCTAATCTAGCAGCTGATATACTGTGACTGAGTATCACATCCTACCAGAAAAACCAGAGTCCTTCAGAGCAGCCTGCAAAGCTAGACCTATGATATATACCAGTTCACAAAGAAACGCTGAAACACCTCAATGTTTTCTAATTCCCAGCCTGGTTACATACAACACATTCAAGTAAGCCCGTCAACTTTAGAAATAAGCAGTAACTGAAACTAACTCCCAGATATTTACACTGTGTTATGTGTATACCCGTGTCTGTAAAAACACAGAGCCCCCACCCTGGCCGGTTTGGTTCAGCGGTTAGAGCGTCGGCCTCTGGACCAGAGATTCCCGGGTTCGGTTCCCACTGAGGGCACATACCTCGGTTGCAGTTTGTCCCCAGCCATGGTTGCGGTTCTGTGGGTGGCAACCAGTCGATGTGTCTCTCTCACATAGATGTTTCTCTCTCTTCCTCCCTCTCTCCCTCTTGCTCTATCTGAAGATAAATGCAAAAGTGTCTTCGGGTGAGGATAAAAAAAACCCACAGAGCCCCAATATTTAGGCCTATATTGTATGTGTGGTCACTTGAAGCAGAAAAAACTACTACAAAGTTTAGCAAATAAATCTCTGTCTGCAAGTTCCAACAAGGTATGTAATATTCTATTTGATTAAACATGAAAATAATTTCATGACTCTTTTCTTAGGATCATAATTTATTTCGTATCTGCTGTTGGCACCCGAACTTTTTTTTTTTTAATCCTCAACCAAGGACATTTTTCCTTTTTTTTTTTGTTCAGAGTGGAGAGAGAGAGAGAGAGAAACATCGATGTCAAAGGAACACGTCGAGTGGCGGCCTCCCACACGACCCAACCAGGGCCAGGGACAAACTGCAACCGAGGTACGCGCCCTTAGCGGGAACCGAACCCGGGTCTCTCTGGACAGCAGACCAACGCTCTAACTGCTGAGCCAAACCGGCCAGGGATTGATTGATTGATTGATGATTGATTGATTGATTGATTGATTGATTGATTCATTCATTAATCCTCACCTGAGGACATTTTTTCCATTTTTTGTTCAGGTAGAGTGGGAGGGGGAGAGGGAGAGAGAGAGAGAGAGAGAGAGAGAGAGAGAGAGAGAGAGAGAAACAGCGATGCGAAAGGGACACATCGAGTGGCTGCCACCCACATGACTGACCAGGGCCGGGGACAAACTGCAACCGAGGTACGCGCCCTTAGCGGGAACCGAACCCGGGTCTCTCAGGACCGCAGGTCGACGCTCTAACCGCTGAGCCAAACCGGCCAGGGCTATTTTTTAGACTGTTTTCCAAGATATGTAATAATTGTCATGAGAGAAACTACGGAGAAAACATCTTCAGAGAAGAAGATACCATAAAGAGTGCAGTAACAGCTTACTGAGAGTGAAAATTATTTTTCTCAGACAATATCGAGGTGCCGCACAGCCAATTTTTTCTTGATTATCAAAAAGGAACAGATGGCCATTGGCAGAAAGACTGCCCACAGGAGCAGGCAGAGGTTAGCAATTATTTTGAGCTCACAACTACAGTTCTGGAAAAACAGTGTTGCTTTTAAAGGGATGGTTCAATTCTGAATCTACTTTTCCTTTCAAAATGCTATTACAGCCCGGCTGGTGTGGCTCAGTGGTTGAGTCGACCCATGCACCAAGAGGTCACCGGTTCGATTCCTGGTCAGGGCTCATGCCCAGGTTGTGGGCCCAATCCCCAGTGGGGGGCCTGCAGGAGATGGCCAATCAATGTTCTCTCTCATCAGCGTTTCTCTCTCTCTCCCTCTCCCTTCCTCTCTCTCTAAAAATCAATTAAAAATTAAAAATAGCCTTGGCCAGTTTTGCTCAGCGGTTAGAGCGTCGGCCTGTGGTCCAGAGAGACCCAGGTTCAGCTCCCGCTAAGGGCGCGTACCTCGGTTGCAGTTTGTCCCCGGCCCTGGTTGGTCGTGTGGGTGGCAGCCACTCGATGTGTTCCTTTCGCATCGATGTTTCTCTCTCTCTCTCTCTCTCTCTCTTCCTCTCCCTCCCTCCCACTCTACCTGAACAAAAAATGGAAAAATGCCCTCGGGTGAGGATTAAAAATAAATAAATAAAAATAATTAAAAAAAAAAAAAGCTATTACATTGTAAGGTCAAAATGTGATCAGAGCCCTGGCCGGTGACTCAGTTGGTTGGAGCATTGTCCTGTACACCAAAAGGTTGTGGATTCGATTCCCAGTAAGAGCACATACCTAGGTCATAGGTTCAATCCCTGGTCAGGGCATGTACAGGAGGCAACTGATCAATATTTCTCTCTCACACTGATGTTTCCCTTTCTCTTCCACATCAATGTTTCTCTAAAATCAATTTTTAAAAGTGTGACCACAAAAAAATCACTCTATCTGCCTCACTTCATGCTGATAATATCCTGCATAGTCTGGGGTCCATCCAATTTTTAAAAGCATCTAGATACAATTCCTCACCCTAGCATGTCCTTCACCCTGTCCACTCTGGGCCAATCTGTTCTCCGCTTATAGAAAACCATCTTGGTAAGCAGTTCTTTCTGAGTTCATGACTAATTTCTTATGGTTGGGATTTAGGTTTCTATCCCTATTGTCTTTGTGGAGGAAGTGAGAAATACCTAAACACCAAACTAACATAATTTTAACTGCTTTCAGACATAAAATTGGTATGAATGTGATAATTCTCAAATACAGTAGAACTATCATAAAATATCCTACCTTTTCATCTCGGAAACTTAGAAACTGCTGGAAAAGCTCACTTTCTGAAATCACCGGGTGCCGACACATCCTGGTCATCCACGCCTGAAGTCTCTCCATGCGCATTTTGATGAATTCTTCTTCAAAGCGACCTGCAAGAGACATCCCGAGAGGGGTGGACCACTCTAAAATAAGTTACTGTTACTACAACTGAAAAGCTATTTATATAGCTAATGGCTACCTGGTAGGCAGTTATTTAATAAAAGGTAAACCATGGTAATTTTTCATGAACCTAAAAACAATCAACATAGTAAATATGCTCAAAGACCCACAGAAATGACACAACAGACTTTTTAGTTTATAAGAATGAAATTCTAATTTGACAAATTAACAAACCTTTTAATTGTGACAAGAATATTATAGCCTCAAAGTGCTATTTTTGTCAAGGATCCCTAAAGTACTTACAACTTTTAAGTAAATCTTATTTCAATATGAAAAACTTCCTCTATCTTAGAAAATAATATGTGGCCATATTAAATCCTATTGGCAAAAAAGAGGTGATACTGTTGAATTTAATAAGCAATTGTTATAAAGTATATGAAATTTCTATATTTATAAAAATGTGACCCAATGCAGTATAATCTTAGATATACAAATTTAAATTCAGTATTTATGCAAGTAACTTGGGACTGTAGTCCCCCCCATTTTGTTTTTTAAATTACTCAAAAACCAAAAAAATAGAAAAAGCAATTTTTCCATAATGCAATAATGAAAGCTGTTACTCTAGAACTTATGACCATCCTAAAACAGAGCTTAATAAGTCATATTTATTTTAAAAGTAGAAAATCAGCTTAATAAGCCTGATATACCAAATATCAAATGAACACTAGAATTTGTATAAGCCTACCAAACAAAGTCACTATCAGTTAAAAAGCTTCTGGTGATGGAAGTTCCACTCCAATCAAGTGAGGCAATAGGCTAATCCAGTCCCCCCCCAAATAACTGTAAACCCAGACAAGCAAAACAAGCAGGGCTCTGGAAATCAACCGAAGGCAAAGAGCCTTCTGTTTGCAAAACTGCTGAACTTCAGGCAAGAACAGTGGAAATCTGTGGCATTCTGGCTTGGAGCGGCTCCTGTCTTCCCCTGCGGCCTGCCCCTCTCCTCCCTCCCTCTACTTGGTCGACATGGGGGTTCTGCCAGGATGGAGCAGGGTGTGAAGACTGGCAGCTGCAGCTTCCCTCACGGGACCTGGAGCAGTGGGAAACGCCCACGCTCAGCGGTGGTGGCAGTGACAATCCAGAAGCTAGTGAACAGGGAGGGCCAACAGCTCCACTAGCCAAGGTTACATGGTTGAACCAAGACTTTGCAGGCTAAGGCTGAGTGCAGAAACGTGGAGATGTGCTGGGGTCTAGGCCAAGCATGCGCTCCTGGCCAACTCTGAGGCTGCACATACATGTGAAGGAGACACAAAAGGGCCCGCGAAAGTAAAAGCCAGAGCTAACTTGAAAATTACCTGAGCTTTGAATGTGCTTCCCTACTCACACCCAGATCCACTGGCAGAGGACAGAAGGTCGGCTCACCACCGATATACACAGACACAGGTGAACCCTAAGAAACAAACTAAAACTAAACTAATAAAATAAAATACAGTAAAATAACTAGCTGCAGGAGAGACGAATTTTAGACATTTAGCACAGGCAAGTTATTTATAAAACAGACAAAAACAGAAAACAGAAACAACAAATTTCAGAGTTAGAAAAATCAGAGTCCAGAATTGATCAAATATATCCTCTAAAATGTTCAGTTTTCAACAAAAACTTAAGATACTGTAAAGAAACAGCAAGGTATGACCTGCACTGAGGAAAAATGCAGTGAAGAGAAACTGTCTCTAAGTGTTTCCAGACACTGAATTTAGCAACAAAACCAAAATAGCAGACAAAGAAGCTTCTATAAATACATTCAAAGAACTAGAGAAAGCCATGTTTAAGAAATTAAAGAAAAGTATGACAAGGAATCAACAAATAGAGATTCTTTTTTTTTAATTATTATTATTATTTTTTAATCCTCACCAGAGGACATTTTTCCATTTTTTGTTCAGGTAGAGTGGGAGGGAGAGAGAGGAAGAGAGAGAGAGAGAGAAACATCAACGTGAAAGGGACACATCGAGTGGCTGCCACCCGCACAACCGACCAGAGCCGGGGACAAACTGCAACCGAGGTACGCGCCCCTAGCGGGAACCGAACCCGGGTCTCTCAGGACCACAGGCCGACGCTCTAACCACTGAACCAAACCGGCCAGGGCAACAAATAGAGATTCTTAAGAAGACAGAAATTATAAATCAAAATCAAATGAAAAATTTGAAGCTGAAAATACAGTAACAAATTAAAAGTTCACAGCCAGGGTTTAAAAGCAGATTCAAGACGGCAGAAGAATGAGTGGATCTGAAGATAAATCAACAGAAGAACAAAGAAATAAAACTAAAGTAAAATGAACAGGGCCTCAGAACACATCAAGCGCACCAACATACTTGTGATGGGTGACCCAAAAGGAGAAGAGAAAGAAGAAAAATATATCTGAAGAAATAATATGGGGAAATTTCCCAAATTTGATGGAAAATATAAGGTATCCACACTAAGATATAGCAGAATCAAACTGCTGAAAGACAAAAACAAAAAGAAAACTTTGAAAGCAGCAAGTGAAAAGCAATTCGTCATGTATGGTGGGGTATGGGTGTATGTGTGTACGTATTTGTTTGATCGATAGAACAGATTGATTGGTCATCTGACAAAATGGAAGCCAGAAGGCAATGGAAAAGACATGTTCATACTGAAACAAAAACTATCAGACATGAAATCCATAACCAGTAAACTTATCCTTCAAAAGTAAAGGCAAAATGACAATATTCCCAGATAAACAAAGTATGAGAGAATTCATTGACAGAAGACCTGTATCACAAGAAATAGTAAAGGAAATTCTTCAGGCTAAAGGGATATCGTGTCAGGTAAGAGGAAATTACCCAAAACCACAGGGAAAAATGAAGAGCACAAAAAATACGTGGGTTAATAGAAAAGACTCTGTAGGTATATTTTTTCTAATTGCTTCTTTTAAGTTCTTTAAAGGACCTAAGAGTATAGAAAGCAGTAATTATCACACTACATTGTTGGATGTATAACACACTTAGAGATAAAATGTATGAAGTATATGATGATGACAGCATAGAGAGGGAAGAGAAGGAAACTATATCGCAGAGAGTTCTTATTAATTTTATTAGAATTAAGTTAACAGTAATCTGAAGTTTACTGTCATGTTACAAAATGATGTATATTATAGCCACCAAGGCAACTAGCAAGAAAATAACTTTTAAAATTTAGTTTTAAAAATGAGAGGAATTAAAATGGCACATTAGAAAGTATTTAACACAAAAGAAAGGCAGTTGAGGAGAAACAGGAACAAACAAGACACAGCAAAATGGTAAATGTGAATCTAACTGGGTTAATAATTACATTAAATATGAATAGTCTAAAAACGAATCAAAATGCAGAGATTGTTAGACTTAATAAAAAAGTAAGATCCAATTATATTGCCAAAAAGAGATGTACCTTAGATTCAACAAATTAAAAGGTTGGAAAAAGATACATCATGCAAACAGTAACAAGAAAATTGGAGTGGCTATGTTAATAGACTAAACAGACTTTAACAAAGGAAACCTTACCAGAGACAAGAGGGTGGGCACATTTCTTAATGATAAAAGGGTCCCTACATCAGGAATTTACAATTTACAATTACAAATTTAATGTATACTTAACAAGAGAGCCACAAAATACATGAAGCAATAAGTGACAGCTGAAAGGAGAAATAGTCTGACAGCAGTAGTAAAGATATCAACACCTACTCTCACTGACTGACTGCACTGGAAAGAAAATGGGCAAGGACATAGAAACCTGCACAACACTATCAACAACTCAGCCTCATTGATAATATAGTAATTATTTCTAAATAAGCCATGGGTCAAAGAAGTTATAAGAGAAATTAGAAAATAGCTTTAACTGAATGTAAAAAAGTAATGTATAAAATGTTATGAAATATAGTTCGATCAGGACTTAAAGGAAATTTTGTAGCATTCAATACCTATGATAAAAAAAAAAAAGAAATCTTAAAACAATAATTTCAGTTTCCACGCTAATAAAACTAGAGAAAAAGCATATTATATACAAAGCAAGCAGATGAAAATTTATAAAGGAGCAAAAAAAGGAAAAATCAACAAAATAAAAAGAAAGAGAGAGAGGAGACACCCATTATCAAAATCAGGATGAGGGAGTAGCTATCACTATGAACAACTTTAAACTTGTACTCAACAACTCACATGAAATAATCAATTCCTAGGAAGTCCCAAACTACCAAAGCTCACCGAGAGGTAGCCTGAATAGCCTTATACCTATTTAGGAAATTCACACTTAAAGTCTTCCTACAAAGAAAACTCCAGGTCCAGATACTTTCAGCGGTCAAACATGCATGGAAGAGATAATATCACTTCTACAGTCTCTTTCAGAATACAGAGAAGAAGGAAATACTCCCAGTCTTATCTCATGAGGCCATAAATGGCCTGGTACCAAAACAAGACAGACATTATAACTATAGACCAATAACCCTCATGAACACAGACACAAAATTCCTCACCAAATATCAGCAAATTGAATCCAGATATATATATACACATACACATACACACAGAATAACACATCGTGGCCAAGTGAAGTTTATCCCAGGAATGCAAAGCTGATTCCACATATTAAGAAAAACCATGATTACCTCAATGGAGGCACAAAATACATTTGACAAAAATTACTATCCATTTATGTAGCAAATCAGGAATAGAAGGGAAGCTCCTTAATTTGATAAAAGAGCACCTACTAAAAGTCTAAAGCTAACATCCTATTTAATATTGAAAGACAAGCTTTCTCCCTAATATTGGGAACAAAGCAAAGATGTCTACTCTCACCATTTCTAGTCAACATTATACTGGAAGTCTTAGCCAGTTCCATAGGGCAAAAACAGAAACAAAAGGCACAAACGAGAAATAAAATTTTAAAAATGCAGCCTGGACTTCATGAATACTAATAAGTATGAGTCTTTTGAGATGAGTAATATCGACCCACATATAAAAACACTCATTACTGAAAAGACTGGCACTTGAGTAGCTGATGGGTCTGGACAGTTCCTGAACATTAAAGCACCTCAAATTCTGCGCTTACTAGGAGTAGAGATTAAGCACTACTTACATAAGCTTAGGCTGTGCAGAAAGTGTCTCATTTGTTGAGGCAGAAAAGAGCCCCCTCTCCCTCCCTGGACAGAAAAGACCCAGCATGGACCTGAGTTACACTGGACCCCATCACAAGCAAGTGAATGAATTATACCAAGAGTTCTTAGCCTGCTCATTGGTTGATTCTTATTCTTCCTTAAATTTTTCTGACATAGCTGGTTTATATCAAAATGATGATTTCAGGTGTTATTTTGTGCTTGGTAAGATTTTCATATCTTGTTTCTGAGAATTTGAAAAAGGGCGGAGGAGGGAATCTCTATTTTCTCATTTTTAATGAACCTTATTTAGGTTTTCACTAAGAATGTAAATATACCAGTTGTGTACCCAGGAGTGTAAAACCAAATCCATTCAATATTATTTCATAAAGAACAAAATCTATGAATAAATAAAAAATGTTAGCTGTTAAGTTTTTTGTTGTTAATCCTCACCCAAGGATATTTTTCCATTGATTTTTTTTTTTAAGATAGAGTAGACGGGAAGGAAAGAGGGAGGGAGGGAGACAGAGATCCATGTGAGAGAGACACATCAATTGGTTGCCTCCTGCACAACCCTGACCAGGGCCGGGGATTGAACCTGCAACCCAGGTTCGTGACCTTGACTGGGAATTGAACCCCAGACCGTTTGGACTGCAGGTTGGCGCTCTAACTGCTGAGCCAAACCAGCCAGGGCAGCTGTAAATTTTTCACGGACCGATCAGTAAGCCCACAGCAATGTCGTGACATCATCTGCCTGGCGTTCCTTTCTCTGTTGCCCAGGATTCAGGTGTGGGGAGTCTGCACAGGGCTGATCTGTGGCATCAGGGGCAGGAGGCAAACAGGAGGGGGAGAGATAAAGCGGCTTCTGTGCTTTTCCGTTTCCTCGGCACATCTCCCAGGCAGTGACCCGAAGCTCGGCTCTCACAAGGGGCTGCTGCTTTCTGGCTTTTCTGTGACATCCCCTGGCTTCGGGCCTGAACTTTTGTTGCTTTTGTTTTTAAAAACAAACCTTAACATTGGAACAGAACCATGATGCTTTAAAACAGAACGAAGTTATCTGATTCAGAATCAACCATGTATTAAAACCTAAAATCTCCTCAGCTCTAAAATAACTCATGAATCCATTTATTTCAACACTTTGGAGCACATACTGGCCCAATCAAGTTGATAAAGGAGAAAATAACATTCAGGACACGGACTGAAATTTGCAAATATGGAGAAAGGCAGACTGAAGTTTTCATGAAAAGAAACCTAAATTTTTAAAAAGAAAGTGGTAATTTAAAGCAATAAGGATGACAGGAGGGAGAGTGTGAACCAGGCATAGAACGCGGGTACAGTGACACCCGAGAGGAAGGAGGCAGCAGTGCACACCAGCCTGGCCACCCCAGCTCGGCTTCCACTCAGCTGCCCCTGCCCACAAGGCTGCTCAGGAGTCACCCAGATGAGGGCGAGAACGTGCTTATCTGCCGGCAATGCAGCCCCAGTCTCCCTTCTGCTGTGACAATTTGAAAATTGGGGGAGCCCTGGCCGGTTTGGCTCAGCGGTTAGAGCGTCGGCCTGCGGTAAAGAGAGACCCGGGTTCGGTTCCCGCTAAGGGCACGCACCTCGGTTGCAGTTTGTCCCCGGCCCTGGTTGGTTGTGCGGGTGGCAGCCACCGATGTGTCCCTTCACGTCGATGTTTCTCTCTCTCTCTTCCTCTCTCTCCCTCCCGCTCTATCTGAACAAAAAATGAAAAAATGTCCTCGGGTGAGGATAAAAAAAAAAAGAAAATTGGGGGAAAAAAATCAAAACAATTTTTAAAAAACAAATGTCTCCACCTCCTCAAAAAATTTCAGAGAAACAGAAAACAAAGATCAAAGTCAAGTTTTACGAGGAACAACACGTTCCCATCCTGAGGTTACGGATTCTAACTACAGAGGAGTTGGTCCACGTCTCATAATGAAGCAAGCTCTGCAATCAGATCAGACCCCTTTGGTGGCAGTACTGAGCAGGGTGTGCTCAGCAGTGAGGCGTCCAGGCACACAAGACACCGCATGGAGGGACAAACTTCACTACAGCACTCAAGGGTCCTGAGCAGGCTCTGCCATTTGGTTGGTTAGGATTATCAGTTCCGCCCTGGCTGGTTTGGCTCAGCAGTTAGAGAGCTGGCCCGCGGACCACAGAGTCCTGGGTTCAGTTCCCACTCGGCTGCAGTTTGTCCTCGGCCCGGGCTGGGGTCCTGTGGGTGGCAACCGCTCGATGTGTCTCTCTCACATGGATGTTTCTCTCTCTCTTCCTCCCTCTTTCCCTTCTACTCTGTCTGAAGATAAATGCAAAAATGTCCTCAGGTGAAGATAAAAGAAAAAATTGATAAGAGTTCTGAAGACATACACAGAAACAAATTCTCTCTGTGGATTTATAAGGGGCTCTGGTAGCACTGTGGGTTATTACGGGGGCAGGGCAAGCGGGGAAACATGACACCTTAAGTAAGAAAAAGCAGAGGCTAATAATCAATAATAAATAAAATAATTTAAATATGAATAGTCACTGAAATAACTGAGGACAAAACTTGGCAACTCTCTACAGTAACAGCAGCTCTGGGGCGTGTGCCTCCGCTGCTTCCGACTCCTAAAGAAAACACCACCTCTGGACGGCATGGATTCACATCGGCCGGCTCATAGATTTTTATTTCCATTTCGGGCTATTTGGTTTATTTCTTTTTTCTCAGGTATCATTTTTCACATTAAAAAAATTAATGTACTTTTATAGGAAAGGGTGTAGCAATAAAGACACAATGACTCCCGGAATTCAAGATATGTATATATAAGAACTGATCCACAATTTTATGAAACTTTCTCATTAGGTGTTCAGGTAACTTCCAAATATATGTACAATATGTATATGGCTGCATGTAGCTACTGTTCCCCACTCCTCCATCTGGCTCCGCTAGAGGACGGGAAGCACCCTCAGAGGTTACACTGGGACCCTCCAACCAGAGCCCTTACTCATCACGCCGAGTTCAGTGTCGCGCACACTCACCTGTGACTTGCTTGTCTGGAAGAGAAGGGATTGGAATGGCTGACCCAAACTTTACCAGGAGACGTTCATATAACCAGTCAAAGTGCTTATACCTGTGGTTTACAGATCGATTAGTATTCTACAAAGAAAGAGAAAGAGGAGAAAGAGTTACAATGCCAACTAGAGAAAATGAAGACAAAAGCCAATTCTAACCAGTGACACATAAGCATGATTCTGCTATGAAAATTCAGATACTCACAGTGGGTGTTAGCTGATATTCAATGTAGCTCTTCAGCCCATACATTTTGGAACCTTTCCTGGGATCTGCTACCACACAGTCAAAGGTAGAGGTAGGATAAACCCACATTGGGCCATAATCTCCAACCTACACAACATTCCAGGGAGAGTTAATTTTGTTACAAGGAAAAATAGTAAATAAAACTGATGTAAGGCATCAAATGATTCTCTTGTGGAACAGAAGTTCCCTGGGCGTCATCCACACCCTCGTTTGAGAGCAGGCACCTGAATGCTCTGCTCCCGCTGGGGTTCTGCCAGGCGAGCCCCTCTGCTCCTCACGTGGGCATTCCAGGCCACGCAGAGATGTGCCTACTATTTCCCTCCCCTCTGGGAATGCCAGATGGAACCTAAGTTCTCTCTCGGGCCCAGCTGTCTTAGTTATATGTATAAAGGACTAGTTTAAAAGAACTTCTTCTCTCTCATGGGCTGATAGTTTGAAATATAAAATTATACCCTTGGATGTCTGAACAATGTCAAATTGCCATCAAACTTTTTCAACACTCTCATTTTCTGCATACCCATTCCTAATTCTTTTTAACAGTGGAAGGAAGAAAAAGTGGGGTGGGATATGAAAGTTCAGAGGTTACTAGGTCAGGATGAGGACTAGGGTCCAGAGAATCTTAATAAGGGTCTAAAGAGAAGATCTCTGACAATAAGCTACTCTGACTCCCCAAGAGGGAGCCCAGATCTAGAAACCTCTTACAAAGTAGGAATCTCTAGGAAGCTCTGGGGAGCCTTCCAGTGATTGGGACCAAGGGAGGCAATTCTGATAGACTAGGGCCCAATACCCACGGGTCACATTTATTAGTGGGGAGGGTTACTGGGTCTTAAAAACAAGGAACCAGGTCTGTGCTCTGTCTTGGTTTCCTGAAGACTCGATGGCTTCCCTAGGCTTCCTTTCCACGCAAGAAGCCCACACAGGCAAGCCTGCTTCAGGGTACACGACCCAGTTCTACCTAAGATTTTGGGACAAATGCTGGGGTCCTTTAGCTCTGACGCTTGTGATAAAGCCCCCTTTGAGATCCAATTTAGGGCCACTATGTGGAGTTTTAAATTTAAAGGAAAAAAAAAACCCCAAAACAATGATATACATTTGGTGCTTTTTAAACAGTCTGGAGAAAATAAAAATAAATTAAAATAATTTTCAATCTAATGATGCCATTAAGAATATCTGTCTTAGCCCTGGCCGGTTTGGCTCAGCGGTTGGAGCGTCGGCCTGCGGTACAGAGAGACCCGGGTTCGGTTCCCGCTAAGGGCACGTACCTCGGTTGCAGTTTGTCCCCGGCCCTGGTTGGTAGTGCGGGTGGCAGCCACCGATGTGTCCCTTCACATCGATGTTTCTCTCTCTCTCTCCCTCCCGCTCTATCTGAACAAAAAATGGAAAAATGTCCTCGGGTGAGGATAAAAAAAGAATATCTGTCTTAGAATATCTCAGAAGATAAATACCCCAAATTTGCTTTGAGAAAAAAGGACTCCTGATCACATCCCTTCTCTCTGGAGGTTTCTAGGTTTCAAAGATGTAGGAACAAGTAATAAAGTAAGTCCAATATCATTCTTACAATTTTATCAAGTTTCCTAGGACCCAGAGATTACAGAACAGGAGTCCCCCCCCCCCCGAGTCCGTGGTAATCACACTCAAGGTTCCCCCATCTTAGAGTTGCAGGGTTAAGTCAATAGGATCAGAACATAGCCACAGTTCTCTTTTCTAGAATTTTATCTAGGAATATCAACTATACAAATGCTTAGACAGAAAATCTACCAGCAATCAACGTTTGGGTGAAATTAGAGACCATGCATGTAACGTAATATCAAGTTATTCTCAGACAAATATTCGTAACGGTGTCATTAACGCCCAGCGTTTCTACTAGCCAGCTCCTTGTTATGGACCCGGCAGCTGGCGTACTGGAAGAAAGACTAATTATCATCAATTTAGTGGAAACGCACCTTACTCTGATGACGTGCATGAACTTTGCCAGACAGAAAACTAAATATCTGAATTGGGTTTATTAGCCAAATAGATAGAGCTGGTAGGAAAACAGCATGTACAAGATACTTTCAGACACCTTAAAGATGAAAAATTATTAAAAGAATATATACTGTGGGTGTTGTTGGTTCAATTACTAAATCTGAAACGTAACTTTAAAAATATCTAAACAATATAACAACAAGCATTAATTTATGCTAATTATCTTGATTATTCTTAACATAGAAGCACATACTGTTAGCTATTTAGAGCATTGAAGTATTTTAAAATACTTTCCGAATGACTAGTAACCCTTTCAGCTTTAAAGCATATAAAAGAGCTTAATCCGAACACAGCAAACAAACAAAAATGAACAAACTTACGATGATAGGAATTTTCTCTTTGGGTTTTGCTAGTTGCTTAGCCAACAAATATTGTTCCATCCCAGGTTTTGCAAATCCCGGAAATCTAATCATGAAGACAAATGCTCATGAGTCTTATGTATTCCCTTAAAAGAATTATACAGCTCTCATCCACATTTACCTAATCCGACAATTTTAACCTTGTTCTGTCTCTCAGATGTATTAGAACTAGGAAACTGTGGTAAATGAAACCTAATGTAATCAGATTGTTCAATGGCCAATTAGTCATTTAATTAAGCTTTATCTTGTAAGAAAACAGTCTGACTCCAGAAGGTGTGATATTTATGATACTCCATTTGCTTAACTGGAACCGAAGACTATCACCCCACGGAGTGGAGGGCAGACCAGAGAAATGTCCCCCAGGTCACAGGAGATGCTAGCAAGCATACCAATGGGAACCAACCACAGGAGGCAATGGCCACACATCAGCATTTCTAGATCCAAATTAAAGCTGCCTTTCAACACATTCCCTCAGAGAAGCCACAATTATCCCAAAGAAGCTGCCACTGTTCACAAGCGCTCGTGCTATTTTCTTTTGGGAACTGACAAACACACCAAAAAACCCACACACAACACAAACAATTTATGAGACACAAAAGGAAACCAGTCTTCTTTTTTTTTCTTTTTATCCTCACTCGAGGACATTTTTGCACTTATCTTCAGATAGAGAGGGAGGGAGCGAGAGAGGAAGAGAGAGAGAAACATCAATGTGAGAAAGACACATCAAAAAAAAAAAAAGAAAGACACATCGAGTGGCTGCCACCCACACGACCCCAACCAGGGCCGGGGACAAACTGCAATCGAGGTATGTGCCCTTAGCAGGAATTGAACCTGGGTTTCTCTGGTCTAACCACTGAGCCAAACCGGCCAGGGAGAAAACCAGTCTTCTAAATAGAGACCTGAAACATAATAAAATTGGCTACTTCTAGAAATCAAATAAAAATCCAAAGCAAATTTCTAAAATTGGAGAAAACCTGGAATATATACATAGCCATCCAAAGTATTACTTCTAAAAGCAAGATTAATTAGGGTTTTAGAAAATTTTGCAGCCCTGGCTGGTTTGTCTCAGTGGTTAGAGTGTCGGCCTGCAGTCCAGAGAGACCCGGGTTCGGTTCCCACTAAGGGCACGTACCTCGATTGCAGTTTGTCCCCGGCCCTGGTTGGGTCGTGCAAATGGCAGCCACTCGATGTGTCCCTTTCACATCGATGTTTCTCTCTCTCTCTTCCTCTCTCTCCCTCCTGCTCTATCTGAACAAAAAATGCAAAAATGGCCTCCGGTGAGGATAAAAAAAAAAAAAGACAATAGAAAATATAGCAGATGCAAATTAGGACTGTTTTAATTTGGTTTCAACCTGAAATGAAATTTTAGAGCAGAAAATTCTTAAAGCCAACCCTTCACTTTAGAGATGAGGAAACTGAGGTCCAAGCAGGTTGTCCCACTTCCTCAAGATCACACAGCCCATCAGAGAGCAAGTGCGGCGCAGTGGAAAGAAGGCACGGGCAGTGGGGCCAGAGGCCTGGGCACCAGCCACACCCTCCCTTTCTAGCTATGAAACTTGGCCAGTCATGTGACTTAGTCTCTGCTTTCTCATTTTCAAACTGGGACAAGAGACACTTCCATTTAGATGGGTTTTAAATATATTCTGTATTCAGGTTTAAAGAACAAGAGTAACGTACATCACTAATGATCATACTGAAAACTTGACATTTGACTCTAAGAAACAGGACACTATCAATAACAAATGACTAATTTTATGATACAAGCAACTGAGCATGAAAATACATAATGGAAAAAATGAGACAGAGAGGTTAGAAAAGTGGGTAACTAAAAAATGACATTTAATCACTGATGCTATTTGAATATAATAAGGAGACTTGTAGGACTTGTTAAACTTATACATATGTGTGTAGATCTAGAACTAGAGTCTGATATCTAGACACATACAGCAAATATTAGGTTTATCATTTTTTTCCAGACATAGGTTAACTAACATTCTTTGGTATCTGCTTTGAATAATGGGCTTGGACCACAGAGAAAAAGTAACAGTGATTTTTGAAAATAAAACTTTAAACATAATTGCTCTAAGAAAGAGTAGTTGAAGATTCTTACGGAAGGCATAAACTACACCTCCTTCGAGCTACACTGACGTAAACTACGACTATCCAGAACTCTCTATCAGGAATGCCACCTGCTCTGTCCGCATCTACCACAGGCTCTCCCGTTAAGCAGTACATCTACAAGTACTGTTCAAAACTTTTTTTTAACCTAAGAGAAATATAGGTAAAAACAAAGTCTTAAACACATTAAGCACAGTAGTTGAGAGCATGTACTCAGGAGACTAAGGGACTGGACTGGAATCCTGTGTGAGTCAGAGCAGTCACTTAACCTCTCTGGGCTTCAGTTTGTCCCATGGTACAACAGAGATTACATGCACCACACAAAGGGATATGAGGATCACATAAAAACTGCACAATGCCTGGCAATATAAGCCATCAATAAATAGTAAAACATTTAAAAGAGAGTTATTTTTTATTTTCCTGTGACATCAGCAATGAAACCTTAATATGTCATGGAGTTGATAAAGGTAAAAACAGTGTTTGCAGATCATTAAATAGGACAAATATTTCCTTTAAAATGAAAAAAAGTATTAAAATAAGCTACCAAGCTAAGATCCAAACAAAAGTGAGCAAATCACAAAACTTCGTAAAATCACTGAGAAGAGAAACAGCCTCTTCGTATCTTATGTATATTCCCACACAGAGTTCCCACCTCCCAACTCCCTTTAAACCTACTTGTTGAGAGGCAGCTTCATGGACGAGGAGCCAGCACGGCTATTTCCACGCTGAACACCTCCTGCCTCGGCCGCCTCTGAATCCTTGAAGTAGGGGGAAGACGACTTGGGGTCGTCCCAGTCTTCATCCCAGTCATCATCATCACCAGTTGCTAGTGGTGGGCACCAAAGATGGTCAGTGAAGAAAAAACAAAGTAAAAAAGAAAATGGCTTAATTTTCTGATAAGAAACTACCAACTGGGTTGACCCATTTAAAAAAAGGAGAAAAGATGTACTATAGGAGTACAGTGTGGACATGAAGGGTATAGGTTCTGTAGTCAATTTTAAGGCTTGAACTGTAGATTCTGCCTTTTAGTACAAAAGACAAATTAGAAATAGCTTTAAGAGGACCGTCAATCCCAGTAACTTCACGTGAATACAGACTATAAAAATGATACACGGTGCCCGGCACTAAAGGGCTGCAGGTTTGATTCACAGTCAGGGCACATACCCCTAGAGGTCTCGGGATCAATCCCCAGTCGGGGCACATACAAGGGGCAACCGATCAATGTTTCTCTCACATCAATGTTTCTTTCTCTTTCCCTCCCCCCCCCCTCTCTAAAAAGTAAAAAATACACAAATAAAAACATATCCTCAGGTGAGAATTTAAAAGAAATTTTTTTAAGAAAATGCTACATGGTCCACAGGGGAGGCCCTCCAGAGGCCCACCCATGGATGAACCAGCTTCACAAGACACGCGACACGCAGATCAAGTACCCGTGCAGCCGAGAAGATCGGGGAGGACAAAGCACATGGTAGAGCTTGAAAAGGAATTTGAAGAGGAATTGTTCAACACTGATAGTAATAGAGATGCGAGAAGGGCAGTGAGGGGAGAGAGAGAAAGAAACAGGATGAGGATGGAGGAGAAAGGGAGAGGACAACGAGAGACTGGAAAAACCAGCACCAGCACCAGCACCGGCACCAGCACCCGACATGACCGAATCCCTGTGCCAGACAAGGCGCTGCCAGCTTCCCTGTCCCCTTCCTCCCCAGTCTGGGCCCGCGACTCCCATCTCTGATGGGCTGACATGTTCTTCTGCTATGAGGCAGGAAAAGGCCCTGGGATCTCTGCCCTGTGAGCGCTGCCATGAGAAACAAATGCCAAAACAAAAAAGAAAAGAATAAAGTATCAGAAGGGCGTGGGCGCGTTTCCCGGGCATGCCACGTTACTACAGAACTGCATGGCAGCAGTCTGTCTCAACATTTCCGCTCCGCGCACACTCCGGGCCCTGCCAGCAGTCCCGCTCCTTCCACCAGCTCGGACCCGGTACCCGTGCCCTTGCGATGCCCGAGTGCGAGTCCCTCACCACTCGGCACGTTCCATCTCTGGCACAATGTGCTCATTTAGGGATCATAAAAATAATGAGCAGATTTTTATTTTATTTAATTTCTGAACCATCACAAATATCCTTCCTTAATTAGTGAACTGTTTCCCCGTCTATAAATTTCTCTCCTGCCTCAGTATTCCCATTGACAGCTTGGGAGTCAAACAGGCAGTTAAAGAAAAGATGAGACTTCTAGGTCAGAAAGCATGAAGTGGCAGGTGATGCACCACATTCAGCCAGTACACACATGGTTTTCAGCCCAAGATTTAAAAGCAAATAAATGTGTGCTAACTGCCAAGATTTTAAGGTGTTCTTTTGTTTAATGAACCTGGCCCCTGGCAAGCATTTGAATTTGTAATTCCTTGATAGATAACTAAGCTTAGACTAAAGATCATAATTAATAACTACCTACAATAGGTCCAGACTACCAGGTTTGATAATAGTGAATAGGAAGAGCAATTCCTTAGACAAAATCTATTTTTACTCTGATGCCCTAGTCACATTTAGGGTGGGCCCCATCACCAGCAGAGCCCTCCTCCTCACCTGGTCCTTGGTAGGCCTGAGGATGACCAAAGGCGGTGTCCCAGTTATTTGAAGTGTTTCTTTGGGCTGCAGTCCCCTCTGGCTTGGCCCCCCAGCCGTCCGTGCTGTCCCAGTTTCCAGATTTGGAGGCGCTCCAGGCTGACCAGGGGTCACCGCCACTGCTGACCTGTTGTTAGGGTAAAAAGGGAGAAAGACTATTTGTGACTTCTAAAAGCATTACTCAATTCAGTAGGAATCACCTAACAATCGAATACAATAGGAATGCTGAAAGAAATCAATAGAAATGTAAAACAATTTGAAATTTAAAGAAACAATTTCAAACATGTAGGAAAGTACAAAAAGCAGTATCAACCCGACTGTACTGATGTTAACATTTTGCCATGTTTGCTTAGGAACTTCACAACCAGCAATAAAAAAACGTCCACTCGCACCTCCCTCCCTCCCTTTCTTCTTCCTTCTCGAGAAACCACTTTTCTGAACCTTGACATTCCTGGGTATGTTTATATACTGCCGTTGCATGTGTACACATTTACTAATAACTTTCAAAATGGAACTAAATAACATTATACTGTATATATCTCTTTGCAACTTTTTTTTCACTTAACATTACGTTTTTGAGATTATACATGCTAACAATGAGGCTGTTTTACTCACTTTAACTGATTTAGAGCCATCAGTTCTATTTTTATAAGGCTTTTACTTTTGGTTGAAAAAGTAATACATTCCCATTTTTTAAAAAAATTGAAACAGCAATGCAATCTGAAAATATGCCTACCACGCCCGGCCAGTGTGGCTCAGTGGTTGAGCATCAACCCATGCACTAAGAGGTCACCGGTTCGATTCCCAGTCAGGGCACATGCCCAGGTTGTGGGCCTGATCCCCAGTGGGAGGCATGCAGGAGGGGGCCAATCACTGTTTTCTCTCATCAATGTTTCTACCTCTCCCTCTCCCTCCCTCTCTCTCTAAAATCAATAAAGAAAAAAAAAAGAAAATATGCCTACTGCCCTGGGTGGTTTGGCTCAGTAATTAGAGCACCAGCCCTCGGACCAAAGAATTGTGGGTTCAATTCCGGTAAAGGGCACATACCTGGGCTGCGGTTCGGTCTCTGGCGCTGGTCAGAGTCATGCAGGAAGCAACCAATTGATGTGTCTCTCTCACATTGTTTCTCTCTCTGCCCCCCTCACACTCTATCTCAAGATAAATGGAAAAATATCGTTGGGTGAGGAGATAGATAGATAGACAGACAGACAGATAGATAATAAAATAAAAAAAAAAATATGCCTACCATCTTAAGATGCCAGTCAGTCTTTCAAAGACAACTACTAATAATTTCCTTGTATACATGCCCTCAAACATCCCACGCATAGAGATCCTTTGTGTTTTCAAACATGTAAGTGAGCCTGAATTATACTTTCTGCTCTGCACTTTTGTCTATTTCCCACTTAAGAGCCTGAAACACTCTCCAAGGTACATCAGCACATCTGGGTGGATTTTTCCTCCCCACGGCTCCAGAGTCCCACTGGACTCACTCCCCGTGATTCAGCCAGCATATGGCAATGCTCATTTATCTTGTTTGCAGTATTTTGCTCCTATAAATGAGGCAGCAACACACATCCTTGTACATCCTTCCCCACGTGTCCAACAGACCTTTGTAAAAGTCCCGAAGAAAAATTGCTGGGCTAATGAGACCGTGCATTTAAAATCAACGGATTTTTTTAAATTAATTTTTTTCACAGATGTTTCTCCTTTTTCCCCCATTGATACCCTCCTCCCGCCCCCCCCGCCCCAAAACACTGTTGTCTATGTCCATTAGTTATGCATATGACAATGCTCTCCAGAGAGACCGTACAGTTCCACTCCTACCGACATGCCAAGGAGTTGGCCTTGCACAGAAGAAGGCTACCATATCCCAAAATTATTTTAAAAACATTTTTCCCATTATTTAATTTTACAGTTTAATTATTATTATAAATAAAATTTGAACAGGCAACACATGGCACCCGATTTCAAGCAGCATCGTAGTGAGAGAACCTGTAGCCCACCTCTCACCCTTGCTGAAGCCACCCGTGAGGTGGAACACTTTGTTGGTTTTTGTTTCCTTGATTTAAAATTTTTAAATCTTCAATCTGTCTGGAGTTTACTTCAGTATAAGAAATAATATAGACCAATGGACACAGACAACAGAACAGTGAAGGTGGGCAGAAGCAGGGGGGATGATGTAAAAGGGGGAAAATGGAGGGATATCTGTAATAAAAAAATTAATAAATTAAGTATTAAAAAATATAGGAATCCAGCTTAGTTTTTTCTTATAGTCTGTCTGTTGACTTATCATTTAATGATTGATCCCTCTCACCCCCAACTGATCTAAAATATCATCTCTATCACATACTGGACCAGGCCCATTTCTAGGCTCTCTATTGCATCCTAGTGATTCATCCGTACCAGTACCAAGCTACTCTAGAGCCCACCGGATAGAATACCATTAGTACTTTAGCGAGAGAGAGAAACATCAATGTGAGAGAAACATCAATTGGCTGCCTCCTGCACACCCCTACTGGGGATCAAGCCTGCAACCCAGGCATGTGCCCTGACTGGGAATCGAACTGGGACCTCTAAGTCCATGGGACGATGCTCAATCCACTGAGCTACATCAGCTGGGCCAGCATAACATTTTTTATTGGTCTACTTTTATGCATAAAGTTTATCATCAGCTTAATATTTTAAAACTAAAACAATCTACTAGAGTGTCAAATTTTAAAAAATGTCTTCATTTTAATTTCAATCATCTTAAATTTACAAATAAATTCAGGGGAAACAAATAGTGCCTTAAACACACACACACACACACCAATTTTAATGTTGAATCTGTTTATCCAAGAACAAGGAATAGCAAAATTTCCCTTTCACTGGCGTCTTTTTTCTCACATGATAAAAGTTTGGTGTTGGCAGGGGTGGGGAGTGGGGGGGAGAGACAGAGACAAAGATAGACGGACATACATATTTATAAGAAAATTTCCCAAACTGTTTCATATAGCTCTCTGATGTTTCAGAACCCTACAATATCGGTCTTTGTTTACTCTTCACTAACTGACAGATGGGGTGGATAATTGACTGCCACATACCAGAAGCATCAAAAGCAGAATATATGTTTTACATGTGGAGGCATGATTTCATTATAACATCTCTATACCCTCAGGAAAACAAAGAAGTTGCTGGTGGTTTTCTCGAATACATGGCTCACATGATGATACCTGCGGTCACTCTAGTGGATACTGTAAATGAAGGAGGACACTGAGGGTGGCAGTCAGGAGCACAGCTTCCCTCCAGGTCAGGCTGTGGGGGTGAAGTCCTGGTTCTACCTCTTTCCAGCTGGGCAACCTCAGCTAGAATCTGAACCCAGGCATCCTGACTCAGACTCAGAAAGACTGACAAAAGCTAATCAAAGTAAACTGTAAAGGGACAGAGGACTATAAACGAGGGCAGCAGGAGGAATGTAAGCTCAGCGCTGGCCCAGCGAGTGTGGCTCAGTGCACTGAGTGTCGTCCCATGGACCGAGAGGTCCAGGTTTGATTCCCCATCAGGGCACACACCCAGATTGCAGGCTCCATCCCCAGGAGGGAGCATGCAGGAGGCAGCCGATTGATGTTTCTCACATTGATGTTTCTCTCTCTCTAAAAAAAAAATAAAAACAAAAAAATTTTTTTAAAAAGTTCAGCATTACCATGATGATAAGACTACGTTAGCAAACTATCAAAAGAAAGATTTTCATCAATACCGAGGAAAAAATCAAAGGTGAACTTATTCATAGCAAGTATCCTAAAAAATGTAAAACTTAGGATGGAAACATATAACATGATAATTCTCTTTAAAACTATTTTGTTTACAAATTACTTGTAATAATTGCTATATTATTTGGTTACATATATGATCTTAGCTCTCAATGTAGGCTGTAAAATCTCCGCAGGCTTCTCTTTCTGTCTTTTGTCAATTTCCTGGAACACTCTATCTTGTTTCACTCGGACTCCTCCCGACTGGTCTTTCCAAATCTGACCAACCGGAAATGTCCTCTCCAGCTTCTCACTGACTTGTTACTGGCTTTCTCTCTCTCTGATGACCTTTTACAGACTCCAGGACCCTCCTCTAACATCAGTAATTAATAATCAGCTCACACAGTCCATCTCGTTCTGGTCTCTTCCTGAGCCCCTCAAATGCCCTCAGCCCCTCAGCTGCGGGCGTCTGGTCGCACACTAACCATTCTGTCCTCCTAACATCTCAAACTGGGGCCCCGCTTCTCTATTTCCTTCCAGCTTTCCTTCCTCTCTCCTTCCTACTCGGCAATATCTTCATCCTTTCCTTTTAGCTCTCTTTATGGTACCAAAGCCTTCCTGACTCTCAACCACGTGCATTAAAAACCCTTCCTTAGCCCTCTCGCTGACCAGGGAATATCCAAGCTCCTCCGTCCACCCATCGAGGTCTGAGCCTGAGCCTTGCCTTCCGTGACATTCCCATTCTTACTTGCCACTGGCTTCACTTCTGTGCTTCGACCTTCCCAGTTTCCCAAACTTTCCTACATCTTTGCCTTTGCTCACGCTACTTACTAGCACACAAAGCCTTCTTCATCTTCCTAAATTCTGCCCAAGTCCTACCGCACTGAGGGCTCCGGTTTCACAGCCTGCTGGCTCACACTGCCACATCCTTAGATCCTCCCAAAGTCAATCTTCAGAGTCATCCGCATATCAGGTGGTCACTCCCACTAGTGCATCTCGGGTATAGGCCTATCTTATTTAAAAAACATTTCCCCCTGCCCTGACCGGTTTGGCTCAGTGGTTAGAGTGTCGGCCTGCGGTTGAGAGAGACCCGGGTTTGGTTCCTGTTAAGGGCATGTACCTCGATTGCAGTTTTTCGCCGGCCCAATCGTACGGCAGGCAGCCACTCAATGTGTCCCTTTCACATCGATGTCTCTCTCTCTCTCTCTCTCTCTCTCCCCCTTCCACTCTATCTGAACAAAAAATGGAAAAATGTCCTTGGGTGAGGATAAAAAAAAAAAAATTTTACCCCAAAGATTCTCAAAATGCCTTACATAAAATAACAAGTACTCAAAAGAATTTTTTTCTTAAAGGGGTTAAATGTGATGTTCTTGATCATATGTACGAAATACATACTGTT